CTTGAGCTTTTTAGAAAGAGGCCAGGCTTGTCACAGTGAGGTAACAAAAGCAGTGGTGTTCTCACTGAAAACTAGGCCAAAAGATTTCAGCACAGAGGCGATGCTGTGCTTGTGTAGACAGAGATAGTCGGGACTCTCCAGGCTGCTGAACTGCGTGTGGCCAGATTTTCTGCTGAACAGGAGCTGTGCATACGGGAAATGCCAGAAGGCTTTTCACTTAAACTGAGCCTCCTGTCAGCTTTCTCTCCAACTGTTCAGGCTGTAGACAGAGGCTCTCAGAGCTCAGCTTCTGCTCTTTTTAGGTGCTGTAAGGAGGCCAAAATACTTGAACCTCTGGTGTAATAACGTCCCCTGTAGTTATACACTGATGTCATGTATTTGGAATTATGATGTCAATGAAAGATGCTGAAAAGGAGAAGCTGGGCAGGAAGGAAGGAGGTAAAATGCTGACATTTATCTTAATGAGAAACTGAATCCAGAATGAACAGCCAAGACAATTCATTTTGTAGAGAGGCGTTCTCTTCCATCTGCCTCGAGCAGACAGTTCCCTCTTCAGCACATCTCTGCAGTGCAAGGGCAATGCAAGGCAATGACAAAATAATTGAACGTAGCTGCAGAACTCATGTAGCTTTTTTAATTTTTGCTTTCTAACCATAATGACTGAACAGCCTGAAGGAGATTTCTTTAGCCTACAACCTAGAATCTGGAGCAAACATAGCTTATGTAGCGCCGATAGCCAGAATCCACAGAGCAGCTGCATTTGCTTCCCTCTGGCTAAACGTTTATTGTAGGTAATTCCACGGGTCAGATTTTAAAAATGTTCATCTCTTAGAAGTTCATGCTAAAAACCCATTCACTTGGATGGAGACCCAGAAAACAGGTCACCATTCTCATGTTTATAACCCCAGCACCTCAGATTAGACCCAGAGGCAGCCTTTAAGGTACACATATGTCCACTACAAATGAACGGGAGTTTCTAAATTAATTTAATGTAGTTTTTAGATAGCCGAAAGATGATAAAAACAAACCTGTGCTAAGTTGGGACTGTAGAGCTGCTGGGAAGGAACCACTTTTCATGGAGTCCAAGACCTCAAGCTTTCATAACACGGACAAAATGCAAGGTCCAAAGAAGTGCCTACAGAGCCTGGTGACACTAACAGCACAGCAGCTCTGTCGAAGGGAGGCACCTTCTTACACCTCCACATCTGGCCGGAGACCAAGGGGAACCCACAACACTGTGAAACATCCTGATTGACAAAGGTCCTCCAAGTGGCTGTCAGATATGAGCCCATTGGTATTGCCACTGACACAAATAAGGTCTGCCAAACTTCCTGCTAGATGGCAGCTTTGGCTGAACTGTCATCAATACCTCCATGTAAATTATCACTTAGTCTTCTACAGTTATTTAATGAATTCAGGGGTCAAAGTTGTTCCATTAAGAAAAATTAAATTGCACCAGAACTACATGACTAGGAGAAACATAAATCTCTCCCAGCAAGAGCGTGAACCGCTAATGTACTCACTCATTCGGCAGCCAGCAGCCTCTATCCAGGAGCAGACAGATCTGGGTGTGATTCTGTCCTTCCCCTCAGGAGTTGGTTCCTCACCTCCCATCTTTTGGGCTAGGAGGTGCCCTGGCTTGGGGCATCTCTTCTGACGTGCAGCCTGTCGCAGTCAGAGCGGCATGGCAGTGATCGGACGGCTCCAGCACAGCTATGAATCCCAGCCAGTAATGGAAGAAAAAGATGTCTGTTTAGGCTTCTCATAAGTCTGCTTCTTTCACTAGTAATTAAAGTGACATTTTCCCTGCCATCTGTAAGATTTTTGAGGATGCAGTCGAGTGATCTATCAACAGCCCTAGTTCCAGGGACGGAGAAGAAAACACAACAAAAAGACTGCCTGCTTCTCTGAGCAGAACATGAAGAAATGAAAAATGCCAACCCTTGCAAAAGAGGGTCTGTTTGCCCTTGAAATCTCTTGTCACATTAATAATTTTGAATGGAAATCATATCCTCTAATATTATTTTTTTTGAAGAATAAATTTCATCCAAACATTTCACATAGGAAAGATGACCTTATATTAATTAACCTCGTATTAACTAGAAGAGTAAAAAATCCATTATAACAAAATTTATTTGCTTCACAAGGATTCTTTTAATGCTTTGAAATGGTGGTCTTTTTTTAATTCACTAGCACTGAAAAGCTATTTACTTTCTCTTACATTTATCTTCGTTCTTCACTGTTTTTCTGGGGGTTTTTGTTTGTTTGGTGTTTTTTTGTTTGTTTGTTTTGTTTTGTTTTAATAGAGTGATCAATTTTCGTACAGCTCATCTGCTGGAAATTGTTAATACCTGTCAGGTTTCAACAACCTATAAAAAACGAGCACTACCAAAAGTATCTAGCAATAATCATCTTTCAGGTAGTAATTCAAATAGTACATATTGAATTAAGTTGAAAAGTTCTGTAGTTTTGATATAATACATATATGTGTCCTTCTGGAGTAAAATAAATATATGAAAACAGATGGGAGAGGTAAACGAAGTCATGAAAAGCCTCTACTTGAAAATGGGTGATGATCCTAAAAAACAGATTGAGTCCATGTTTGTTTTATAAGGACATAGAAGAGGGGGGGAAGAAGTCTTTTGAAAGTATATGTATTGTTTTCTGAAGAATTTAAGACCTCAATAATATCTATTCCCTCCTTCAGTAGCTAATCACTTTGAAGATCCTGACACAGAAGTGTTACCTAAATATACATGCTCACCATTTTGGACAAATATGAGAGTCATATGAGTTGTAGTGAGTGTAGGATCACAAAATCCCATTGCTAAAAGCCATACAACAGCAGAGGAAAAAAAACCCCTACCCTAAAAATATTTAAAAATCTAAGTACATAATATACATGACAGGGCTGCCAACGGCAAAACGGAGGACAATCGAGAAATAACCAGACAGCATTGATCGCCTCAGTACACTCACAACAGGAAGGCGGGAGGGCAGGGAGGAGGTGGCTAAAAGCACCTGCAGTCACTGATATTGCTAAGAGCAAGTCCAAGAAGAAGCATGGACACAGATGCAGTAGGAAACCAGGAACCTAGCTCCAGAACGATCAGAGAGTTAGTCAGGGCCACTGATTTTATAAGCAGTTAAGGGTAGCAACATGTGCCAGTAAGGGCTAAGATGGATGCAGTCCTGGAAGCTGAAGTCACAGAAGAGCAATGCTAGAAATCAAGGGAAGAAAAGCAAGAAACAGGAATTGAAACCAAAGAAAGCTGAAAGGGAGTAGCTGAATACCTGGTAGACAACCCAAGAGACACGAAGAGATGAGTCTCCTCTTTGAACAAGTGCTACAGCCAAGACTGGGGAGGGAAGGAGCAGGAGCAGGAGCAGAAGCAGAAGCCTGGCTGTATCTCCAGCCATGGACTGGAGAACCAGCCTCATGCTACATGGACAGTCAGGAGAAGACAACTGCTGCACACAAAGTATCAGGTGAATGAGTCAGGTGTAGGAGTCCCAGGTGCTGCTGAGGGAATGAAATACACAAAATTCAGGAATAACTTTTTTCTTTTTTTTTGTTCCTTTTTTTTTTCTTTTAAAGCAAAAAAGAGGACACTCCTGAGAAAACAAATAAACGAAAGAACCAAGGAAAAAGGGTGGAAATGGGGAGAGCTGAAGATTATATATAACAATGGCAAAATTGTGTAGAATTTCTTAGATAAAGAAAGAAGAATCACTTTAACAGTCATCAAACAGGTGTTTGGCTCAAGATGTTACCCACCATTTGCCAATTCAGCTAATACGTTTCTCAGGTTTTCAGAGAGAAACAAAGACACATTGAACAACAAAAGTTAAAATAGAGGAGCAACAGAGGCACAGATGGGATGGGATTGTTGAAAATCCCCTTTGATCAGTAACTATAAGGATGAACTTGCAGGATTCCTCATCTATTTCTTGAAAGGGATAATAGTTTAAAATGAAGAAAGGGATCACAAATATATTATTACATCCCAAGAGTAGCACCATGGGAGAAGGATGTAAAAGGAATGAGCCAAACCAATTTGCAGCTCCTGTTTTCTCTGTTGCAGGTAATGACAAATCACCTACAATTCTGAAAGCAGAAAACCTGAAACACCCCATCTGCAAAAGCAAAAAAAAAAAAAAAAAATCTAAATTAATAAAACAGAAGATATCGTGGCATCATCAACTAAGTATCCACACAAGATGAGAACCTGTCACTTGCATATTACGACCTTTTAGGATTAAGTTAACTCTAGAAAGGGTAGGGCTATTATGGCTTAGTTTCACACACTTCAAGCAGAGGGAGATTGACATTACCATCAAAAGAAGTTGTTCCAGTGTGCTCTGTCCATTTATATTCTTCTCCACATTGCTCCTTCCTCTGTACAACACCAGTACAAGCACTCATACAGCTGCACAGTTAAATCAGATGGGAAAACTGAGGAAAAGGGTTTCCTGTTTTGTAGTAGCTGTTGTTTGCTTGGCCTTTTTTTGTTCATCTCTTTCCCCTGAACGTATTTTAACGTGGATCCATCTCCCAGCTGGGTTCTCCCTACAGCCACAGTCACTCTTGTGCTTCTGCACGGGATGGGAATGAGCAGCTGGGGCAAGACCTCCTCCTCAAGTGACAGTGCTAGATAATGTCCGGTTAAAGCGACCCTGAAAGCCTGGCCTTCAGAAATAAGTGATGTGTTCTAGGAGGCAGAACCAAGGCAGTCTGCAGGTGAAAGCATGTGGAGCCTCCTTCTTCCCTGCCGGGAAGCTGGAGTGTCACTCCCGAGGTGTGCACTAGGGATCACATTCACAGGGTCATTCTCACACATGAAATTATGTACCCCAAAATCTAAGGTTTATTCCCAAATATTTTCAAATGCAGCTCTAATTGAGAATCACAAATGTGTGTTGCTAAGTAAAAGCCTGTCTCTTCTGTATTTCACATTGAAACAAAGATATTTTACTAAACAGGAAGAATGCATTGGAAATTCACTTTAATACGTGTTTATTGGTGTCCTGCACTTTCAGTGTAGGAGGTTGGAGATGTAATAAAAAAGTTTCAAAATGTATTGATTTCATTTCATTTAAATCACTCTAAACAACCAGTGCTTTAGAGTTCAGAGAATTAACATTTACTGTCCATTACAAGCAAAATTTTAATATTACCTTTTTGAGTCTGTTTAGAATTCCTCTGTTAAAATTCTCCAGATACATTCCTCAAAGTAAACAATACATTTCAATCTGTGTCACAATCAACATTGATAAGGCCTTCTTAACCATTTTATACCACCTCCACTATTACTTCATTGCAAAACACAATCTTATTTCATACTATAAATATCCATCCATGCACAAAACACAGGGGCCAGAAGTTACACATTAATATGTCATGTAGGCTTCCAAGACTTCCTTCACCCTCTGCAGGTTTATGGTACACTTAAAAAGATATCTTTAGACTTGGTCTACTTGGTCTTAAAATACAAATATACAATATCCATAAGCATAAAAAAGTAAAGCTAGGTTGCCTTACCATTTGTTATGAACTGCTAAAATCTTATACATGTACAATATAGCATCATGCCGATTAATATACATATTAGTTAAATATATCAACCAATAATGGAGATGTGGCCAAGCTTTTCTATTTTGCTTTCAAAAAGAAATTGTTCATGTGCAAGTAAAAAGATATTTAATTTAAACTCATATGGAATACCTGAACCACATAGACATCTGTAAACCCTGCTGAGATATTCAGGTCAAATGGGGCATAACCTGCTGATACACTTGAAAGGGAACACAACTCCTTACGGGTGATACCAAATGTGTGCTATTCCCAAGAGAATGTAAATTTACCAGCATTCACATTTTCACTTCTAGAACACTGATTTATGCATCTTGCATCTCGGTTTATACTTTGTGTATCTATTCATCATCCTCCATCAGAAACAATTTAATACCTTGACACTGTCATGGGTTTTTCTAAATAAGGAGATACACAGTACAAAATGTATAGTGAAACAAATAAGCACATGTATACAGTCTTTGAAAGGCATTTTTGTGACCATTGTAGCAGTGTTTATAGAAAACATTTAAGATAGTCACATTCCGCTGATAGCACTGTATTGCAAACTGTCAAGCCACATTTCTTATATTAAACTTGTACTGCACTGTATATTGTACAACAGAAGAGAAAACAATCATTCTTAAGGTGTGACACAATGAAAAAAAAAAAAAAATCACTAGACTGAGTAAGGTAACCAGCACAGGGCTTAATTTTCCTGAGGTTTGTAAGAAGTTTTTAAACAAAAATCACAGTGACCAGGCTAAACTGCAAACATACTTTTAAGTTTTAAATATACAGTTTATACATAAGTTCTGTGCATGGTCGACAACTGTGTATGTTCACACTGATGTTTCCTTTAAATGACTCGCCACTGTATAATACTTGTATCTTTTCCGCCTGTGGAGATGAGATGGGTGTCTTCACAGAGAAAATCTACATTAGTTACATGACTACTATGTCCACCGTACACATGGCTTGGAGCCTAGAAAACACCACATTAGTGAGAATATAAACTGTCATAAAAACATATCATTATAACATAACATTCATACCACAATGAAACCAAGGCATGACATAATTCTCTTAAAGTATTTTAATATTAAATTAAATTTTAAATTTAATTGTAGTCTCAATCAACCTTAAGTAAATCCCTTAGACATATACATATTCCCATTCTTCCTTTTTTTGTTTGGTGGCTGTGGGTTTTTTTGTACATAGGAAAACAACATTTACTGTATTTGTGCAAGTTACAAGAGTAAATTTTTTGGAAATACCTTACCCTAAACTGTGAACATGGATATGAGAAGAGATGTACTTTGCCAAAATCATCCCCTGTTGATAGCAGTTTTCTCCCATGTGATCGACAGACAGCATTGATATCTGTTCCATCTGAACCTTCAGGCCATACACCTGAAACACACAGGAACTAATTAAAGGCTTCTATAATGGAAATAAAAGCGACAGCTTAAATTTTTGTTAGAATATTAGTAAAGGATTACTTGTTTTTTAAAAAAAAAAAAAGAAGAAAAAAATAAAACTATAAAATTAACTGCAGCTGAGTCAGTATGAGTACTTCAGGACCAGCAAAAGACCAGATCCTAATAGGAAATCAAGCACAGAAACAAATTATTTCTTCTAGTCAGCAAAGTGCTTTGTACTCTGAAAAAAAGAATTCTGCTGCATTATGGTCATGTGTCTGAGCCTAAATGAATTTTCATATGGTTATGCAGAAAAATAACTGTTACTGCTTTTATTCTCCCTTCTGCTTATGCTGACATACTTCCTTCATACTACTGTAGTCTAAAAAACTACCCATGTATAATTCAACATACTTTCTTCATATTACTATAGTCTAAAACCTATGACACAATAAATTATATAGTTTAAAATATTATTTAGCAATTAATATATCCCTTGAAAAGAAACTGAACCTACTACAAATGTTTTAAATGCTTTTACTTCAAATAATTCTCCTCTTTCCTCATGCATTCCTTGCTGTTCTTGCACAAAGTGATGCTCTAAAATTAAACTGTAGGCTCATCAATGCAAGGACAGATCTATGCACAACATCTTTAAAGCCTTTGAATATTTGCCTGTAATAAATTGTAATTGTAATAAAATCCACCCAGTTATTGATTTTTTTTTGTATGCAGTACTGTGGGGTTTTAAAAATTATTTTAATAATTCATAATTTATCTAATACCTATTTAACATAAATTATATCTAACTTTCAAAGACCACTGACATAATCAGTTATAATGTGTGTTCTGCCATTATGATTTGGCAAAAAAAAAAGACTGTCCCTATGTCACACATCCTCTGCAGTGTTCCCCTGAAGTCCTACCACTCGAGTGCATGCTCTTCCTGCATTACTGCTCTTCCAATATTACAAGTCAGGATGAGACAGTTGCTACCCACCCTGCTTGCTCTCCCCTCTCCTGGAAGGATGGATGCCTATGCCCGGGCAGGGTAGGCACACGCCGGCTTCCCTGCTCTGGGCCAGCGACGCCACCAAAGTAGGTGTCAGCCCTGCACTGTGGAAACAGCTAGCCTTCGATCCACGTGTAACTCTTCCCAAATATGGTCTTTGTATCATTGCTCAGCAATTCGAAAGCATTAAGAGGAAGTGATTCCCTGTCTTTATAAGGAATTACAAATTGTTGTAAATAAAAGGAAACACAAAGTGATGATTTGTGGACTGCCCCTGACTCTCCCGATGTGTGTGGAAACACCTCTTTGCTAGATCAGGGACAGTAAAAAAGAGGCGTAAAGAAAAGTAAGGGGCAAAGAAGAAACATGGTAATTGCTACTCGTGGAATTATGAACATGTAGAATGAAGACACAGAGAAAAACTGTTTTAAACAACTGCTTTGACAAAAAGGAGGCTGTATGAACATCAAATGCTAGCTGAAAAGAGAGGAGTCTTCTCAAGAGGCTGTGATGACAAGCTGGAAATAATTCCTAAAGAAAATGGTTTAAGAAACGAGATTTTGAAGTGTGGAAATGATCATATCAGGGTTTTTCTTTGAGACTTTCTGCTCTCTCAAAATTTATTCCAGTGCCTCACTGTCAGTTTTTCCAAATATGTAAACTGAATCCCCTTTTGCTGAAAAATTGGTCATTTTTTTTTTTCTCATCTTCTGCAGACATGGAAAGAGATCATTTCCCTTATCTCATTTGAAGATTGATGCCATGCTTTTTTTTCTCCTCCTCTAAAATTAATTCATTACATCTCTTCTCCCAGAACAATATTTAGATGGATTCTTGCTAGTCAGCACATTATCTGTTGCTCCAGTGTGTGAACACCAGAAGCAGCTATTCCAGCTGTGACTGAAGCAGATACTGATAAATGGAAAATTACTTCACATTTTGCATGGTGTCCTGTTCTAATGCATCTACCTTTCCTGAAACAGCATAATGCTGTTGACCCATATTCAGTTTGTATGCAAGAGTAATCAGATCTTTCTGTGCAGATCTGCTCTCCTCCATTCTGTATTTGTACAACTGGGTTCTGCTGTTCAAGTGTGTAACCTCCTATTTGTTGAATTGCCTCTTTTTTTCATACAATTTCTATATTTCTTACGACAAGTTGCTAATCCTGCAGCTTCGTGCCACCTACCAACCATGCTATTAATAAATATATACAAACAAGCATAATAATCAGTGTACAGTCTTCTAGTCAGTTTTGAACCCAACCAGTCTGAGCTCTGCTTTGCTTGCAGTGTTGTCAGGCTTTGTATAGCATCCTAGATTTCTTCTGTTCCTGTCCTTTACCTCAAATACTAATTTTTCCAAAACTGGGTATGTGATATGAACTGATGCCTTGGTTGAGAGTCTAGCAGCACATGCCTATTGCAATAGCATCCAGATCAGTAAGTGTTCTAAAGTCTTTAGTCCTTCACATGTCCTTTACATGTGTTTGTATCACTAAAATATCCTCCTTTGAACACATGCCTTTACATGCTGTTGATTTTCATTTGAATCATCTCTAAACATTTCCAGGTTGACTAATTTGTTTCCATGCTTGAAGACCTGTGTTCAACAGATCAATGTTCATCTTCCCCCCTGCACTGGTTATGTTGATCTGCGAGTGCCACGCATGCCATTTTTCCATGATTCCACTAGAGTGAGAAAATACCCCTAGTTTCAGTCAGCTAGTAGCTACTGAAAAATCAAAACACTAGAATTCTCATGTCCTTGATGATGTAATTTCTTCTTCTATGTCCAGTGGGGCAATCCTGGCAAGCATTTCAAGACTGTTCATACTGGCTGCTCTGAGGCCCCAAAGTACTGAATAGCAGAGTCACAACATTACCAGACTGGTTTACAATTTATAATTTATAAGCTTCTTCAATTTATTATTCTAGCCACTAATTTTGCACTTTATCCTCTCTGTATGGGCTCTGAAGTTGAATATATGATTCTGCAGATACTGCATTCATTCTCCATTTTTCCATTTCTTTGCCTGTCCTCTGTGAGGTCCTGGAAACAACTACTAATGGTTTTGAGGTTATGCTAGCCAGTTGTTTTAACAGATACAACAAGACTCATCATACTCAGATACTTTGAAAATATCTGACTTCTAACTACTTTCCAATCTACTCCTTCCATATTGAAAGCAGAGGTCTTGTCCTTTCATTACTGGCACTAACTGGGTTAGCCATCAGATTGTAGTGAGTCTTCTAATAAAGTCATATTAAAAGAAAACAAAGTGTCTCTCTTTTTTTTTTTTTTTTTTTTAAACACTTCAGTTTTAGCAGTGCCATCTCTTTTCTCTGCATAGCAGGCCAATATTGTCGTTGGTCCTTCTGTTATTTCTGTACTTGTCACAAGTATGCATTTGTGTTTAGGCTTTGTTTGTTTCATTGGTCCTCCAACAGCTTTTACTTTCTGCATTCCTCTTCCCTGTAGGGGAGGTCAACAACAGTTTGACCAAATTTATTCCATGCTGCCACTCGTATCTTTCCTCTGGGCTGGCAGAGTTTGTGCACTTCATACCATCTAAGGAACTACCACATCTCGCCTTTTTTCCAACTTCAGATTTTCCCTAACAGAGCTTTGGAATTTTGCAGTTTGCCTCCCTGCAGTCCATTATCTTCTTTTTCTTTCTCATACTAAGGATCACACCTCCCTAATCCCACAGCCATTCCTACACAAGATGCATTCACATTCTTAGCAAGTTCTTTCCAATGCCCCAGAATCAAATCGGGAAGAAACTCCCCACTAGGTGCTTGTCTATTTCCTGTATCAGAAGAATTTTAAGAACTAGCTGGTTAGCCACTGTACCGCAATTCTTCTCCCAAAAGACACTGGAATAGTTAAAGTCTCACAGCCTTAGCAATTCCTATGATTTGACTGATTCTGCTAGCTATTAAAAAAATTCCATTCATTTGATTTTTCTTGAAGGATAGGCAACAGTACAACCTTGCCACCATTAATATTCTTTTTTTGCGTCTATAATTATTATGCATTATCTTTGTAACTTCTCAGTTTGAACCTAACTGTATAGCTATGAATCCTCAGTATAGATATCATTATGTTCTCTCCTTGTGCACTGCATACCCTTTGTACGTAAGTTATATCCTTTTACTTTAAAATTCCATTAATTTGATGAACATCCTCACAGTCTCTATTACATTACTAAAATGGTAATTGTGACAATTATTAAAACTAGCAACTACTTTTATTTATTCCTTGTCCTTGTTACTTTAGCTTACAATAAACCAGTTCAGCATGGAGGACTGTAAGTGTAAAAATCTATGTGCAGTTTCCACAAGTTCCCCATTGGCCCAGTAGATCATTTTGTTCCATAGCCTGGCTCCAAAAGCTGATCTGTTGCCAGTGGGAAAAAAAACACTCTGAGGTGTGACACTCCTCTCTTATGACTTTTTATGCACCAAAAGCAGCCCCATACTCTAACAGCACTATATTTTGCATGAATCCAAGTTAGAAAGTAAGGAATACTCACTTAAAGTATTTATCATCTCAGAATATCTGGACCTGCAATGCTAAATGCAAAGACTTTGTAGCTCTATAACTGTGCATCAGGTATACTCAAACCCCAGGAATACGTTAACAGTTCTATAAGTTCTATAATATAAATTCTGTATTCATCCCTCATATGAGAAACACATTATGTCAACATGCAGCCAGTATTGTAGGATTTCCTCCTTTTACTAGATCTTCATGTTGTAGTGATAGCCAAGCACTTCTTGTCAGTTAAATTAGACAAAACTTGAATGTGTCTTCCCAGCATATTGCTATTGCCATCCCATCTTTAGTCTCTAAAAACATGTCCTTTCTGGCTGCCTTCAAACACATCACTGCATCTATTGTACTTGAAATATGGGTGAAAATCTTCCTTGCTTACTGCTTATACTAAACCAGACTCTTCTCTGAACTTCTACCACGGCTTCCTATTTTATCTTAAGGACTCAAGAAGTTGAATCTTCTCATACACAACTTTTGTAATGATCTGTCTAGTTCTGCACACGTTGTGGAATAAGTATAAAGCTTCAGAGTACAATGGGGAAAGCAGCTCCTTCAAAACTGGCAGAAGAGAAGTCCCATGGAAACAAACTGTCCTGATTTCATTACATTTTTCTTCTTTCTTCTTGCATTCATTTCACTTCATATAATTGCAATTATTGCATCAAAATACATTGTAAGTACTTAATGATGGAGACTGTCACCCATTCTGTGTTTGCACAGGAACTAGTGCAAATGAAACAGATTCTGGTAAGGGCATTTGGCCCAGTAGCTGCCTAAATGAAGGGTAATTCCACAGAACTGGTACTTTAAATTAAAAATGACGAGAAGCAGCTCCAGTGTGACAGAAAGGGCAGTGTGTGATTTCTTTCTTGTCTCCCACTTATGTAGTAATTTAATATTTATACTTGAAGCTAGAAAGAGTATTAAATCAGAGTCTTTCTGGATTGAAATAAGAGGACAGATTGTAATAAAAATGGCATAACAGAAGTTCTGTATTTTCCCCTGAAATATGAATAGTCATGCTCATAAGAATAAGTTGGCAATATAAGTGTTTGTTAATAACAAGCGTGGTAAGAGATTGTAAGAGGAAAGATGCTTACCAAAAACGTGGAATCCTAAAGTACAGGTGTAAGTGGCCCATTCTATATCTCTAGTTGTTTCAACACTCACAACTTGTTTACAAGCAGAGGGGATCCCTATAAAAGAAAAAAAAAAAAAAAAACAACCACACAATAACATTTTTAACTCTCAAATTGTACAGATTTTTGATTGCACCAGATGAATTAAAACATATGATCTATCTTGGCAGTTATATGGTCTCATTTAAAATTTAAATCTGTATTAGACTGCCTGAACTTTGCACAAAAGGACTAAATATAATTCTTACTCACAGTATAAGATTTCATAGTCTCCTGAATTAGACACAAGATACTGTGAATTAACAGACCAGTCCAGATGAGTAATGAAGCTGGAATGACCCTATAGAGAGAAAAATATTGTATTAACTGCACTAACAGTATCTCTCAATGTGTAGATATTAATACAATGCTAAAAAATGTACTTAAGTTGTTAGTATTGAACCAGGAGAAAAAAAAAAGTTTACCTACCGAACATTTGCCAACTCTAGTGTACTTTCTTCCATTTTCACTTACGCCATATATATAAATACAGTTGTCATGGGAACCTATTGCCAAGAAGTTTCCATCTATAAACACAAATATCCCTATAAGAAAGGGCTTAGGCTAATTTTTAAAAGTTAGCATGTCACAGACAAGAAAAAGTGTTCTTAAAGGTCTTGATACCGAAAAATTAAAAAATAAAATTCTGTTTTTTCAGTTGCATATCGATGCATGTTTCAAGATTACAAAACAGCAAGTCTATACAGGAAATATTACTGTTAAAAATACATGACACTTCTGGATGCAGCTACAGTCCATTTAGGGCTGACCTGATTGCAACAACCTGTGCAGTTAAGTTGTATGTGGTTTTTTTAATTCCCAGTGAAACCATACTGAACATGTGGGTGAGGGAGGGAGGGAAAAGAAAACTGGAGCTTAAGACACCACCTATTCAGTGTTGCCAGTGTTTCATGGCATATTTATTTTCAACTTCAATATGGCAAGTGGAGAATTATTTTAAAACAAATTGTCCTGGGTTGAGTGAGTGGTGGAGTTTTTTGGTGGCAGGGGAGGGGGCTATCAGGGCAGCCCCCTGTGAGAAGCTTCTCAAAGCTCCCCCAGCTCCCCGTCAGCTCCACTGCTGTTTGGAAACTGAGCCAATCAGCTGCGCCTCTGTGATAACGTATTTAAGAAGGGACGTGGTGACGGGCAGTCGGACTTGTGAGGAGGAGTTGCTGCAGCTGCGTGAACACCAAGGTCAGTGGAGGAACGGAGGAAGAAAGGAGGGGGGAGGTGTGCCGGAGCAGAGACCCCCCTGTATCCTGTGGGGAGACGGCAGGGCGGCCCCCCCTGCCACCCATGGAGATCTACGGTGGAGCAGACATTGATTTATGGCCTGTGGCTTCTGCTTGGTATAATCAAGGTGCTGTGCCCGAAGAAGGCCGGGATCTCGTGGGAAAAGGCAGCCCCGCTGCTGTAATTCAGCGCTGGGAGGATTGCAGCATGCGGGGGAGTCCCACGCCAGAGCAGCTCGGGAAGGGCTGCAGCTGTGGGAGGGAATCCAGTTGGAGGAAGTTGGTGACCCACGATGGAGCAGTGTGGGGAACGCTGCGGCCCATGGGAGGGACTCATGTTGGAGAAAGTTTGTGGAGGACTGTCTGCTGTGAGAGGGGGACCACGATGGAGCAGGAGGAACAAGTTTCGGACACTCCCCTCACTGAAGATGAAGGAAGTGGCAGCACTGCCAGCACCCCCCATTCCCTGCCCCTGCGCCACTGGGGGAGGAGGTAGAGATATCGGGAGCAGAGCTGAGCCCAGGAAGAAGGGAGGGGTGGGGGGAAGGTGTTCTCAAGATGTGGCAATGCTTCTCACTGTCCTACTCTGTTACGTGTTGTTAGTGTCTGTAATAAATGTATGTTCTTTCTTTTTCTTCCCCTAACGAGTCTGCCTTTTGCTCATGACCACAAAGGGGAATTTTTTCCCCATCCCAGTCCTATCTCGAACCCCAAACCTGGCTCTCTGTCCCTTCTTATTGCCAGAAGAGAAGGGAGAGAGAGTGGCTGCATGGTGGTTGGCTGCCAACAAGGCTCAAACCACAACACAAACCAACCCCAAATTTAATAAAACAATTTAACACTTTTTTTTAACCAGTAAATTAACGCTCTCAAACCTGGTGAGTAACGCATTACGGACAGCTGTTCGTTTCCATCTGTGTGTACAGTGACCAAGTCTTTTGTTTCTGTATCAAATACAAACCACCTGTTGTAAATACAGAAAGAGGCCAATAAATCACTCCATAAGGAATTTAAATGTACTGTAATCTTGACCAATTTTATTCTGTCAAAATAGCGTAAGTTTTACACCAAGAAAAGAAAAACAGCAACTGCTACTTGGTTTGGTTTTTTTTTTTTACTATATCACAAGGATGATCCCATGTTTTTTAACCAGAAAAATGATCAAACATAGACCCTGATACCAATCTTCAGATTTCAGTCTGTTTTACTATTGTCATGCACTCGAATAAAGTAATTATTACATGTAATGACCCTTCTCCTTTAATGACCCTCCTCTATGCTACACTGATGTTTAAACTGATGCTTACATTAAAACCTAGAGCAAAGGAAAACATGAGCAAGAATCAGGACCATTCTCTTTTGATAGAAGGATTAGCTTTATTAATTTAAAAAAGTTAATTAGTTTACTAATTTTTAAAATAAATGTAATTAATTTTAATGAACCAAAATTTAATGTGTAGAAAGGACAAAGATAAAATTTGCATTTCAATACTTGCATCAAATTATTAGACAAAGATTCCTCTCAAAGCTTCTTTTGATTTACTTTATTCAATAAATTTTTATAATTTATAAATACAAATTTTATAATTTAATATTTTTAAATAAATTTAATAATAATTTATTTAATAGATAAAGTAAAACCTTTATTTCAGGTTGATATACAATGCAAAATAATCTTGGCTGATAACCTACAAGCATCCTATATGTTTTCAGTTAAGTGGAACTGTTGTCAATACTAACAGCAAAGTCTGCCCTCAAGTGACATTAAAGGAGAGAATGAAGTTACGGTGAAGGCACTTCTTCCTCCTATGACAGACAACCAAGGTTAAGCCCAGGGTTGTCCATTGACCCACTATATGACCAAGGGCTCAATCTGCCCTGTAAAATGGAGATACTTACCTTCCACCTCAGTTTTGTCTGTCTTGTTACTGCCTTACATTCTGCAGGCAGAATAAGTCTCTTAATACGCATTTTTACACTGTGTCTAGCACAGCGGAACATTTGCCAAATTTTTGTTAATCCAGTTGTCACTGCATTAGAGATAATAAACCACTTGCTGATTTTCCAATGAGTAACATTTTTTTGTGCGATTTCCTCTACACTGCCCTAAAGGCCACAGAGAAGATCTCTGTATGCATTTGCGAAGTTAACTCATTATCTCAAGCTCTCCTTTAATTTTTCCTTTGTCATGATGGACACAAAGATTTAACATTTAGGTCACTGGTGCAGTGACAGCACCTCCCACACATGGTCTCACTGCTAACCTAGACTTCCTGCCTTGTCCCAATCCACCTCCTCCCACTGATCTTAGATTGCCGCTCTCCCAGGGCAGAAACCACCTCTTTGCTTCATGTTCATGCAACAACGCTCAGCAAACACAGGGAACTGGTCCAAGACTAGGGTTTCCAGGCAGTAAGGTGATATAAATAAATTTCACTCTGAAATTCAATAGAAATCAATAGGGGATGAACATATGTCATGTGTACATCTGCAAAACAAGAACATGAGCTGGAAAAATCTTGTAGTGTTTGCTGGTGCCCAAGGTGTAGCTGTGTGCATCTTACCTGCCGGTTAGCGTCCCTACTGCAACAACAGATGCTGAAGGATGAAAACCTGAAGACTGCGCTGGATCCTAAAATGTTTCAGAAGGAAGCACACTTTTTTACGAGTCCAAGTTATAGCAAAACCACAGTTCAATTATCTGCCTTGGGAACAGAGTTAGTCTCTCTTGATGTCTTTTGAGGATTGTTTGATTTTTTTTTAAATACTAACTTGAAGGGGGGAAAGAAACATTTTTAACTGATTGAAATATTACCCAGCAGATTTTTTTTTCCCATTATACAAGGCCACTGTTTTCTTTTCTTCAGTATCTAAAAACAACTTGGTAAGTGACTTCATAACAATAACATTGGCAAAGGCAGCTTCTCAACAAATCACAAACAAGCAAGAGATAAAAATAACTTTAAATTAGAGTTGACCTAAGAATTAAGCATCAAAGCTGCAGTATACCTACTGTCTAAAGGATAAGCAAGTACATTACTCAACAAAAATATGTATCACTTTGCATGAATGGGAAAAGCCTAACTTCTACGCACACCAAAGCCTTTTTCAGCACTTGCCAGTTGCAGCTTAGTGGGAGATTAAGGGCATGAACTGGGTTTCTTATTTTGACAGGTAATTTTAAAACATTTTACTTTGTATAGTATATTACTACGCAGTCCAGTAGAGTTGCGGTGGTTTTCTTGCAATTTAAACATATGCCTAGAAATCAAGGTAAGCACTTTCTTTCTAATACTTGTTCAGTTACACAGAATGAGCTCCAGAACTCCTCAAGCTATAGAAGAAAGTCCCAGAATAAATCGGTTTTGTTTTTTTAATACCTGCCAAAAAAAATTTTAAAATGTAGGCTAAAAAAAAAAAAATCAGTGACTACAATAGTATCACAATATAACCATTTTAGTAAATCTGTTCACATTTTTAGCAATTTGTAATTACTAGACCTAGAGGCTATGTGTAAGGTGTATTCTCATTAATTTTAAACGTGTCTAATTTGAAAGATGTTACTAACTCTAAAGAAAATTCAGAGAATTATTGAGATCCAGGATTTCTATATGCATGTTCTAAACCACTACAGTATCCCAGAAAGGAAAATTTCTTTTTTTAAGTATAATTTCATAGCAAATGCTAAAATATTTTCTTAAATAAACCAGAGATTCAGACATCTAAGTAGTAACTTGTACTCATAACTGCATTAAAAAGCTTCTACATATATCTCTATGACAAAAATAGGTTAACATGAAATGATTTATTTACTCTAGATAGTTAGTCACTGATTTATGAAACAGTCTCAGACATTTCAAGTAGTTAATAAGGAGTATATCGTCAAGACTGATAATAGAAATCTTGTCTTAATGAAGCAGTGTGTACTTGGAGGGCAAAAAAATAAATCTAGTTTAATAGTCCTACTGCTGATGCCGTCTTAGTTTTCAAAACAACCAAGGTAAATAAAATGTTTTCTAAACATTTCAATAACAACAGTTTCTTAGAGATTGTCTTATATTTGTTAAACCACAGCTAAATATTACTTGAAGCTCCCTGTGAGTCATAATCAGCTGAACTCCAGTTTTGTTTTTCAGAGGACACAAAGAATAAAACAGTGGGAACCATGTCCTTTTTTGAGTTGGTGATTACTTAAGTGATTTTAATTCTGTGATAGCAGCTTCTCTGATTAATAGATTTATTCTTGTTCCCCATATTTTATTTATCTCCACTAATGATGTTTCACTATCAACCCAAACTTCTAGACTGCAAGAGAGTAAAGTATCAAATTTTGCACTTCTCTTCATGACTATAGGCCCTCCTCAGTATGTTGCTCCTGTAATAAGAAATATATCAGAAGTACTTTTGGATTCTTCCAGCTTTTTTGAAAGTGTATGGAAGTACACAAAAACATACACCTTTGCAGTGAGCAGCGTAAAGGATCACATTAGTACCTGCAATTGGATTATGTAATGATTTTTTCCTGACAAAAAAGAAACTTATTAAGAATGCATAAAAAATGGTACCAATGATTTTACTCTCCACTTAAGAATCTTTATAAATAAGACTTGCACAAATCTAGTCAAGCACCATTTCTAAATAATCAAATTAAGTCTCCACAGAATAACTATGATAAAGACCGGAAAGGTCTATGTAGAAGTTTCCAGTTGTGTCATTGCTCGAGTTGCTCTGAATTGTATGTGAAGGAATTACTGCGACCAAACGTGTTCATATTCCATACTGTACAATACAGTACACTACTATTGCCATATTTCAAAACATAAAAGGCACCTGTTTACTTTTTTTTAGAGACTCTACCAAGAAAAATCCTGGAAAATTTGGTTTATGACTACTCACTGATTTTTAAAAATCTATTTTATCACTGAAGTTCTTAGCCTAAGTGTGTTGGTATTTATTTTAACTTGCATTTGGCATCTTGGTAACAGTTCAAGAGATTTTCACATTATTTCACAAGCACATTATTTTAGTGTGTCTCAAGATTTGACCATTCCCCTAAGGCCCAGCTACAGTATTTCTAAAGACTGAAGGGGAGATAGATTACCTTTAAATCCAAATCATATTAACACATCTTAAACCCTAAAATGATCAAGAGGTAGGAAAATGCAATTATCTGCCTGCCTCTCAGGCCAAACTCTTAGTATTACTGATTTCCATTTTTTTTTTTTTATGTTAAAAGAACTACTTTTATTTTCCTTTCTTTTAACTTCTTATACTGCAAGTCAATCTGTCTTTATAGCCAAGGCACTGAACTATGAAAACAGGGCTCCATCTCTGAGGCAGTAACTGTTTTGGTCCTTCCAGTTAATTTAGAAGCTTCCCATGTCCATGAAAATATGGATCTTAGAACATATGACCTTGGTTAGACAGAATAAATTCCAATTTCCACATTCACCAGGCAAGCATGATTTAACAACTGCCTACAACTGGAGCAGGATACTATGAGACAGTTCGGCTAACACTATTTTGCTTAAACTGCTTCAACCTGATGTCTCAGCAGATGCTTACTGCAGATGCGTTGTATTCAGTAAGTGTTACTAATACTAGCTTTAACTTAAAGTGTTATGTAGGCCTGAAAATCATAAAATCATAGAATGTTTTGGGTTGGAAGGGACCTTAAAGATCACCCAGTGCCCCCCCCTGCCCCGGGCAGGGTCCCCTTCCCCCAGCCCAGGGGGCTCCCAGCCCCGTCCAACCTGGCCTTGAACCCTTCCAGGGAGGGGGCAGCCACAGCTGCTCTGGGCACCCTGGGCCAGCGCCTCACCCCCCGCACAGGGAAGAGTTTCTGCCTCAGATCTCATCTAAATCTCCCTTCTTTCAGCTTAAAACCATTACCCCTCATCCTATCCCTACACCCCTGACCCAGAGTCCCTCCCCACCTCTCCTGCCCCCCCTTTAAGCCCTGGGAGGCCGCTCGAAGGTCCCCCCGGAGCCTTCTCTTCTCCAGGCTGAACCCTCCCAACTCTCTCAGCCCGGCCCCCCAGGGGAGCTGCTCCAGCCCCCCCAGCATCTCCGTGGCCTCCTCTGGCCCCGCTCAAGCAGCTCCGTGTCCTTCTGCTGTTGGGGGCCCCCGAGCTGGCCCCAGCACTGCAGGGGGGTCTCCCCAGAGCGGAGCAGAGGGGGACAATCCCCTGCCTTGACCTGCTGACCACACTTCTCTTGATGCAGACCAGGGCACGGGTGGGTTCTGGGCTGTGAGCAAACATTGCTGACTTGTCGTCAGTTTTCCATCCATTAATACCCCCAAGTCCTTGGCAGGGCTGCTCTCAATTTACTATTCACCCAGTTTGTATTTGTGTTTGGGATTGCCTCAACCCATGAACAACCTTTTTACGAAAAAAAGTTGCATAATTAAGATTTTCAAAGCTTCATATATAAATAAATTCATAAATAAAGGTTTATTTACTATGTCACACAGAAACACTTGTCAGCAACATGATGGTCATCTATAAGTTACTGGCTACAATTTGATCTGCAAACCTGTGTATTGGATATATATCTACACCAGGTGCTGTTTTCTTTTTCCTGAAGTAATTTCTGAACTTTTCCACTGTCCAGAGGACAGATGAGAAAGACTGAGAAGTAACTCATTTATGGTGATCAGTACATGTATTTCCAAAAATGCATACTGTCACACCTATTAAAAAAGAGGAGACTGTTTAAAAAAAATGTGATAGTGGCATCTCAAAATAGAGACATATAAGCAACACCACTGTCTCTAGAAGATAAGTGAATGTCTTCTTACGGGTAAATATTTAGATAAGTGATCATGTGTCAAAAAATGTACACTAAAAAAATCAGTTCCTAGTGATGCATGTAGTAATCAAGATCACGTTACCACAGAGCTATTAGGAATCTGCAGATGCACAACTGAGTGCTTAAGCACAGTATAAAACTGAGCCTCCACTAAGTATTCCTTCAGTACCTGAACACCAAGTTTCACCAGAGATAGGAAGTGAAATTCTAGAACTCACATTTGTTACTTCTAACAGGATGTATAAAAACATTAATAAATTCTAAAGAAAATAAATTAAGAAGGCCAAAAATGTAATCTAAAAAATTTTTTCCTCCTGAATTCTATCATGCTCAGGATAGTAGTGTATCCTGATCAAAAGTACTTCTAAATAATAAGTATTTCCTAGCTTTATATTTGTGGTTCTCTTCCTAGTAAAAAAATATAAATGTCAACAACACTGTACAATTCTATATGATACAGTATATAGATCCATAACACCTAGGGTTTAAAATTCTTGTTTTTAAGGGTTTTACATTCATTTTCAGAAAGACAACTCTATTTTTTTTCCTCAAGTTAATACTTTAAGATATTTTTAATCAATAATCTTATGATAAAAAGAAATTACTTGAGAAGTTCTGCAAGAGGAATTCAGTTGTGTTTAATAAATTTATACCTCTACAATCTTGTTCCAGATAGGACGATGAGTGGTAGCATCCCAGAGGGTAATGTGTTTGTCATGTCCACAAGTGAAGAACTGAGGTTTAGAGGAATGGACTGCAAGTCCCCAAAGCTCATCTGTGTGACCCTACATAAGAAGAAATGTTTCTTGACAAGGACAGTACCATCAAAACTAAACATGTTTAAACATGAATAAAATGACTAAGTAATATACTGAAGCATTACAAAAATATGTTGGCTTAGATAGATGCTCATCTATAATGTTACTTATTCCTAGATGTACCATAATAAATCAAATAGATGTATATTTATAAAACTTAATTTGAAGCAATACTTTTATTGCTATTACACACTTAGAAATTGTTCTTGCAAGGCAACAGCTTACCTGGGTAATTGGGAAAAAATCTCCTGATAGTGTGCCCTGTAGGACGAAGTTTCTAGTGGTTCCTATTAATACAACGTCCCCTTTTCCCTCTGCTACTGTTCTTATTGGACCAAACTGCTCTGGAATCTGTGGTCATAACATACAAACAGATGGATAAGTCAGACAATTTGTCAAGCGTTGCTATTTTTCAAGACACATGGCCTAGCAAATGCATTTTAATAAATGTTGCACAGAGTAGAAATTAAATGGATGAATATATATGCCTGACTTTCAAAAGTTTATAATAACTTGACAGCTCAGTAACTGTCTTTATAACACTACAAGAAAAGACCTCCTTATCTACAAAACACTGTTTGTACAAATAAACCAAGAATTTCAAAAAACAGAAAAGGTTCCTTCTTGTTGTGTTAACTTGATCATATTTTAATTGCAGGTGTGATATCAGACTAAGCATTTCTACTCAAAGATACTGTCAGGCTTTGTATCACTACTACTTTCTTGTAAGGAGTGTTTCTTTAATTGCAGCCTAGGTTCTGAAAGAGTCAGTGCAAATCACCAATATAAGGTTCAACGCAAGATGTAAAATTTAAAATAACAAGGAATACCACTGTATGAACAAATAGAGGAAAAAAAAAGGATGCCACAGTTAGAAACAGCACAACAAGCATGCACCCTGTGCTGAGTTAGAAACTAAATTACCAAAACAGACATGCCATTCCAGTTGCATATATATTAGCAACATTTAATAATATAAAGTCAAAACCTGTCCTCAGAGCTTTATGCTGATTGTTCTCTTACATTCAGTACGTAAACAGTCACATAGTTCTGTCCAAACAAATTCTTCTTTAATCTTTTAAGTTTATACATTTTCAGAATTTCTTTTTTAAATAAAAACCAACACTAACCAAGAAATAAATGAAAAAATCTAAGTCCTAAAACCCCTAAGATATCCTCACATCATTTTGGAAAAGAGGAAAGTACAAAACCATTTTAATATTGTAATACTCTGAAGTGAAAAATTACCTCACATTATTAATTGCAAAGAAGGGAAGAAATGATATGAAAAAGTATGAATACAAGATTTGTTTTCCAATTACCATAATGTTAAAAAGGAAATATTATGTTAATGAATAGGGTATCACAGGAATGATCTTGTGACTCAAATCATATTGCATTTTATCATTCATTTGCTTTCCTACAAAATACACATCCATAAAAAAAAAAAAAAATTATTCAAAAACCTTTGGTCAGAAGACAGCTAAAATTTCATTTTGAGTAGCAGAGTAATTTCACAATAGGTGATATCACCTCAGTTTTGTGAAGTTTTTGGTAATTTCCATTCCAAGATATCAGCTTTCGGTCTTTTCCACCCCCCGATACTAATGTGCCATCTCGCAGCATACACAGCGCAAATATTCCGCCCTCATGTGCCCCTTGAACTGCATGGCTTATTCTGTTGGTACCTGGATAGAAGGAGAAAAGACATCGCTACTGAAACACTCAGCTTAATAGCTCCTTTTTCTCAATTTTTCTACCAGCTGTCGAGGATTATATCTAAACAATTATAATGGTGGGCACGAAGTGTTGCACCAAAATGCGCAAGACCCACGGAAGAGACTGAATTAGTACATCTTAAGAATGTATCCCCCCCATCCCAAAAATGAAAAGTACACATACACACCCAATCTAGTTCAAATGCAAAGTCAAACGGGTTCATATAAACCTTTCATGGGGGTGTAAGCTAAACCATTTGATGTCACATTTGACCTGCATCAGCACTAAGCACTTTATCAGCAAAGAAACCATAACCCTGTCACTTGTTATCCTCCAAGGATATTCCACAGTCTCCAGACACTGGACTTGCACCAAAACCTGACTAAGCTAGAGATCTTTGTATATCTGGCAGAAAGTGCTGAATCACTCTCTGAAAGAGTCTGTACTTCTTTATTGATGCACATGCCTTGTTCAGGTACCTTCTTAGAATCAAAACACCTTCAAAACCAACTACATTAGATTAAATATATCTAATCTGATGAACCATTTATGAAGTATAAAGAAATGATTACTAGTGATTCTGTTACTGAAATGTGCACCTTGCACCAAAGCTTGGCTAACTTTATGTTTAGCACAAACGAGGGGCTGATGCAAGTTAGGAAGAAACAGCTGCTTTTGCCTTTATAAATCCCATTTGCTTCTACCCACATCTATGGATATACTGTGCCAGCTACAAGTGATTTCTATTAAAGAGGTTTTTGCTAAGGGTACTCTAACCTGGTAGAAGCAGCCCTCACTTGAACGTAGAGCTCTGAGTCAAAAAGTAGTGAAGACATAGAAAATATGTTGCACTAAGATACAAAAACAAGAACAACATTTTTGTCCAACCCAAAAGAACCTGTAGATGAGAGGAGATCTTGCAGCACACAAAGAATTCACTTTCATTCCTGGGAGAAAGGGCAGAAGAGGCTGCTTGCAGCCAAGGCAGAAATCAGTCTACGAGCATGAAGGGAAACTGGCTCCTGAGCAGTGCACTGAACCTGCCACTGACCTCTATCTCCTTTGTCTGTTGGCAGTCCAAAATAACCAAGAACAGGGAGATGGGACTATGCAATTTCTAAACTGTTTAGAAGGAAAAGTTATCAAGTGTCTTGCTTTAAACTGTCATAGGAAAAAGAAAAAGGAAATAAAAGAGGAGCTGAGTTACGAACGCCATATCCACACCTTTCCTCAACAGTACTGTACTGGTCAAAAGCATGAGGAGATAATTGGCTGATAGTCCTGGGATGAACAAAAGCTTACAGAAACAGCTGAGTAAGGCTCAACTGTGTAACCAATTCACTGTGTTGCTTCCCGAGTCTTACAACCTTTGAGTATCTTGGGAGAAGGCACTGAGTAAATAAGATGCAGCTGTCATCCATATCCTTTCTTCCTTTACTAATAAGGCCTCCTTTAGGGGATTGTCCTTATTCCTATGCATGGCATCTCACACACTAAGTTAAACGTTTAGGATGTTGCTGATGTTTGCCTTCTGGCAGGCATTGCCTTCTGCTGCCAAAAAAAAAAAATGTCTTTTCTTACTAGAAAACACTTTTTAAGAAGTTTGTCCTATCCATCTGTTCTTTTGAAATAAAGCTGAGGAATTCAATTAGATCTGCATATGTTTTAACTTGACTTCCTAGGAAAACAAATAAAGCTATTTGTTGTCTTTTTAAAAGTGTGTGTCAATAGGCATAATTTTTGCAAACACTAGAGTGACAGTATAGGAGACTGGAGATTGTCAAATATGTTAAGTGTTCCTTACTATCACATTGATTAAGGAAAAGAACTTTTCCTGCCATTTCTTATGTTGGTAAAAGCCATACATGCAGGCATAGCTCTCTGATTCATTATTTGACCATAGGGAACATATTCTATAGAATTTTGTGCTGTAGCAGTCAGGTGTATATGTTCTTTAGGTACCTGTAGAGGAGAATCCAGACATAATCTGCTGGACCGGTCTTGGGAAAGAACTTAAGATAAACAGAATTTATTCTTCTTAAACTGAAGCTACACTCATGTAAAAATTCACAGTCTTTTATATTAAAATTTCCCTATTACCTTCAACCTTTTCTTACCTTTCCCCCAAATCAAAATGTTTCCGCTTGAGTCTCCTGTAATAGTATCACCATTTTCAGAAAAGGTCACACACAGGACAAACTTTGGCTTCTCTTGTTTCTGCATGGTTATAAAAAATACACACTCACAGAAACACACAACCCATTCATTTTAACTGTATACATTTGAGCAATTTAGTTTAGTCTTATACAGCTGTATTATTGCTTAAATATCTACACAGGGGTTAAACACATTCCTACAGTCTAAACAGTTAATCTGTGCAAGAGCAAAAAAATGCATCAACTGAGGTTGGTGGCCCAATCCTGCACCCTTCAGTAACAAGTTGTGATAGAGCAAGTGAGAAGGCCTGCCAACTTTTAACACAAGACCAGAAATACTCTGAGATAAACCAAATCCTCCCAACTCCAACATAAACCCAAAGGTTTTATTTAGAAGTGGCCAAAGATGCAAACAGGCTTTATTACTGTAATTTTTAACTCCAAAGTTTCTAGAAAAGTATTACTGAAGAGTTTGGCTCTAGTGTGAGAATTAAGAAATCATGTCTTAAAAAAATCCTAAGGTTCGGTAATGAAACATTGCTTTGGAGACCCTGAATTTAAGATACTGACAGCAACAAAATAGTGAAATGTATAAGGGGACAAAAAAGTTCACTAGCTAGTAGCTTCTAAGGACATTAGTTACAATGTTTGTTGACTACCAATGTGTATGGTCTCTTTCTCCCTCAAACTAGAAACTGTTCTCAAGTAGGGCCACCACACTTTTCCAGCTGCAACAACAATATCTGTGACAGAGGCAGAAACCTGACCAAGTAGCTTAGGAGTTAAAAATGAATGAAAAATAAAATGTAACAAAATTTAAATGCATTATCTCAGCATCTCCTCCTGGTTTCACATGAAGTATATTAACTAACATTGCACAATAGTTGCTCTGAATATACTTGTGGGCCATGACTCCACAAGTAGTTAACTAGGGCCTACTGGAGTTATCTGCAGTCACTGCAAACATCCCTCATTTGTGCATGTAACTGCTGTAGAACTTAGTCTATATTTAATAACAAAACCAAACCAAGACCTTGAAATTAAAATTATATTTACCAAATAGTGGCCAGCTGAAGATGTATTTGAATTACGTATGTATATGTATTTGAGCAGAACAGAGGAAAAGGGAATAATATTCATATTCATGTAATTTATGGGGGTTTATAAGTCTTTCCTCTGACAACTTCCCCCCAGCATCTATCACTCTTATATATTGTTTCTTAACCTGAGGTAAGCATAAAGAATTTTAAAGTAATTTTGTTTGGTGGGGGGAAAGGGAGCATAGCATAAAGAATATAGGAAAAAGAATGCAAGGAAAAAAATGGTAATTACATTTCAATACTTCATTGTGAAAGTATTACCCATGGAATAGTTTTCTGTGCCATACCATGAATGCTACCTGAGTTTTTGCAAAATTTCAAGTTTAATAATGATTAGTTGCCTTGATATACTCAACTCTTATTAACCCTGACTTCTGCATAACGGTACCATTATTACAAACATAAAATTAAGGAAAAATTTTACTTCACCTCAAATAATCCTTGTTTTTTAACAAGAGAATTCCCTTCTAGTGTCCAAAAATAAAGGTGTGATTTTCCACAAGTAACTATAATATTTGTATCAGTAGGGTGAAAATCTGCAGCAAATACAGCCTCATTAGAGCACTTGGAAAGAAAAAAGAAAAACATTGTATCAAAATTTAAAATTCACATAAAACAAAACAATATGGAATTGTTCTCTAGTTAGGATTAACTGATCAACTCCTGATTTAAGAAAAATCCTGAGATATTCATTTATTAGTGTAGACTAGAATACTTCGGTAGAATACTTTGAATTCAAAAGATTTTATGTTTTTTTTTGAAGTTAGTAACAAAAGTTATCCTTCAAAACTATGCCAGATAAGGATAACTTCTACACAAAAGATTAGTTTAAGATGTTTCTTTTCTGCACATACTCCTATCATTGATGCCTAGTCTTTTCTAATCAATTCTAGAATGACTATAATAGTAAATTTTTTAAAAAAAACCCAACAGTCTATTGGGATAATCTCAACAATGAGAGAAAATAGTCCATTTCTTCATGTTCTTTGCCTTTTATAAAACGGAAGTGTTAAAAAGGCACAAGGAAGACATTTTATGACAAAAATTACAAATCTACATACAAGCAAGTAGTACAAAATGTCTTATTGCAACACCTTGACATCTGCCAGCTTTTCTTCTTTCTGCCAGTCCCACACGGAAAGCACGTGGTCATTTGAGTCATCCACGGAGCATAGACTACTTCCTCCGTTCTGAGGCAAAACATGGAAAATATTAATGCATCCCCCAACCAACATTAGAAACATGTAAATCCCCATTCAAAATAATTAAATACTTATATTTAGGTGAAAATATTTATACATAATTACACTTTAACTATTATACTTTTAATTCTCCCAAAGATCTTAATGAAATATAATAATTTATAGCACCATTGAAAAATAGAGCTAAAAAAGGGATGTAGAAGAGGAACTATTGCACACTGCAGACAAACAGACTTTGTCAGGGATGAGGTAGGTAGCTTTTTCCAAACATTCAGTGATGGAAATTCTCAAGGCAAACTACACATCACTATCTATACTGTTAAGAAAGCTTTTCCTGACAATTACATTTCATTTATTTCTTTGCAATTTAAACCAAATACTTCTTGTCAGATCTGCTATGGACAGGGGGAACAATTTTACTTTTCATATAGGAATAACATATCAAAATCATGGAACACAGTAAGAAATCAGAAAACAATTTATTCCTGACAAGTGTCTTTTTTATAGGTGTATCTTCTATCATATAATCTTATTGACCCTAATTCCTTCAGTTGTTCTCGATGCATCGTGTTACCTAGACTTTCCCCAGTTGGTGCCCATTTTCTCAAGTATGGATCCAAAGACTAGATGAGGAACTCCAACCAAGACTCTACCTGAACTGAGGGGAGGTGATCAACATCGGTCTCACTAGTGATGGAAACTGCTGTACAATCACCCGATCTTCTTCTAAATAGCAGCTATCTGGAAGGTACTTTTTGGACCATTTTTTCCAATCCTTGGTGTTAATTCCTACATGTGTGTCTACAGTGGAATAAACTATCAAGAAATTTCTAATTGCTTTTGAACCCATTTAAATATGATTTTTGTATCCTGTTGCTTCTGGCACCAGCTATGTTAGCTTTGACTGCAGATGAGCTTGCTGGAACAGACTGAGCTTGTGGTTATGCTAGCACTCCTCTGGTAGCAACGCTGATACAACAGTCCTTCTTTGTTGAAGGATCAATTTTGGGGGGAGGAGGGGGAAAGACCCAAGCAAACTCTGCTTCATGTTGTTTATATATAAGGATGCATGGTTGTTCCCCTGATGAATCAGGCCCATAATGCACATCTCAGTTGCAGCTATAAAAATAACTGTGCCAACACAAGTCAGTAAGTGGGACAGAGATAGGAATCAGTAGCTTGAAGAGAGGGCTGTCTAAAATGTGATAAGCAGTACTGCTATGGGATGGGATGGGATGGGATGGGATGGGATGGGATGGGATGGGATGGGATGGGATGGGATGGGATGGGATGGGACGGGACGTGATGCTCAAAACAAGGCTAAGTTCTGACTGTGAAATCACAGCATAAAGCAAACATATTAAACATTCACCTTCTTGTAGCATCTGCTAGTAAGAATTCTGTTATTAAGTACCTATTTCTTCCTCCAGGGAGATATTTAGAGAGTATTTTCTTGCTATTCCTTTTTTTTTATCCTTTAAATTTGATCTTGAACTGCATTGTTGTTGTGGTTTGACCAGGACAATTGTCCTTCACCTCTGTATTCTTAACCAGCTCTCCTAATTCACTCCTCTCTTTTCTACTTTCTATAAAATATTGTCATCAATAGACTTCAAGTACTTGTGGAAACTTTCATTGAAGTAAATTTTGCTTAGGGAATACACCGCTTAGTCACCTCCTTTTTAAAAACACTGTCAAGACAACCAGACACCACCAGAAACACTGCTTATGGATTCTGTTCTACACAGAGGGTTTCTAGACTTGAGTATGTCAGGTTACAAACTCATGTTTTTATATGGGACTTGAATGCCACCTATGTAACTTTTTTTTACCTCCTTGATAGACTAGAGCTCAAAGTATGGTGCCAAGAGGCTAACAACAGGATTCTAATCCTTTATCTATACACCTTTTCTGCTTTCAAACAAAAGAATTTGCTTCTCCTATGAGAGCTCCCATTTTCTAAATCCAAAATCACAGGTACAGGCCATTGTAAAGGTCTTTTATCAGTCATTCTTAGGCACAGTGTAGGAGGAGAGTAACTTTCTTGTGTTGGGAGAAAAATCAATAGGATGATTAAAGAGAATAAGTAAGGACATTGCGATTTCAAGAACACAAGTACTGCTGCAACTACTTGTCCTTAAAGAAATTAATTGCATTTTATGGTATGCATAAGGTAGACATCTGAGACTGATGAGAGAGTGATAACCTTAATAGCAACATAAACTGTTGGAAACAACTGGGTTGCATGCTTTCCTCCTCTAAAGAGGAAGCTGAGAGAAAAAACAGCTTGGAAGCTTGTTTTGGTCAAGGAAGCTAGATCTGAGAGACCTCAAAAGCCTGTTCAGCAAGCATTCTTAATACGACTGTTCATTTACTTTACTTACAGATTTAGAAAAAGCAATGCAAGTGACAGCTCGGTCAAAAAAACCCATTCCGATGACATGCAGTGTATTCAGAGTTACAGAATCCCAGACACGCACGTGTGGTGGCAATTGCTATAAAATAGACACAGAAATAATAGCTGAAACAATGGTGGCAAAAAAACACCAGGATTTTTAAAAATGAGAATGTATCAAAACCCCATTTTTGATGAAATGAAACTTGGTGATGAACTTGTGACATGGGACTTACTGGTAGGTCCAAGGTCATCATTTTAAACTGTAGCAACTCAGATAATTCTGGTCAACATCAAACAGCAAGTGCAAAAAAAAAGATTAAGATTTTCTAAAACGTAATTTATTTCAGTGTCATAAAAATGGCTGTAGAAACTAATTGTTCAACTGTAATCGCAACTAACTTTATTTTTCTACACAAAATTCAAGGCATACATAATGGCCCAAGATGAATTCCCTAAGAAAACCAGGTGGTTCCCTCCTCCCTCTCCACCCTCTATCTTTGACGTCGGCACCACACAGCTCACCAGCCCCACGCAGGATTAACCTCGTGGAGAGAGAAATGCTGCTCAAAGCCACTAGAGGGCAATCCCGGGAAGTATTTGCCGATTAAGATGTATTTTAAAAATAGTGAGGCGTTTAAGACAGTATCTTCAACCTTTGCAGGAAAACAACAAAAGCCATGTTTTATTTCCCCTTTTTCCCTACCCTTTAAAATAAAGTGAATGTGTTTTATTACAGTATCAGAAAAAAAAAAAAATAAAAAAAAGGAACAGCCATCAGTCTTTCTTGCTAGTAAGTAGTGAAATTGCCCTTAAGAATGAATAAATTAATGAATCAAGGCCACCTGAGTTATACAAATGGCCTTTATATAAGCTTACCTATATACCACTTCCCCCTCAAGCATATACATCAGACCTTTAGATTTTATTTCACAAAATTGTATATAAGAAGTTAAAAAAACAAATACCAGAGATTTCTCCAACACACAATAAAAATTAATAGTTTATGTTACTCAAATATGTTATCTTTACATAAACCTTATATTACATAACTGGGATTTTGTTTTCTTCCTTTACTTAAAGTAGTTAGCAGATCAATAATTCATTTTTATCCTAAAATTCTTCATTGACATCTACCAAAAATTTTGTAATAGTTGGACTGTGACATCAGCTGCATACTCTGAGTGACTTTTTCCTCATGCTTTTCCTGCCTCTGCTTGTACCCACTCTTTCTCACTTGTCTTAGCTCTTTGGAGCAATGTTCATCTTTCTCTGTTCAAATAAATTCCTAGCCTACAGCTAAGCATTATGATAATACAGGTAATAAGAGAGAGAAGAATATTCTTGTCTAGATGACAGAAAGAGTAAGACTTTTTTTTTTTTTTTTTTTTCTTCCAGCAAACAACCCAAAGCCATTCTTATTTGTACATTGGCTTTGGTAGCTATGGTCAGAAATGAAGATGTAGAGTTTACAATTTAATCTCTGCTGTTTTTTTTCCCTTTCCCCGCATCCATCTGCCCTGTCAGGTCTCCTCTGTAGCCTCAGCCTTCCCCACTTCTTTTAGAGACCAACTCCAAATTTACCTTCAGTCTGTGTAAGTAATGGAATCAGAAACCACTGACTGATCTTAATAATGAAACTGGGTAAATTTGATAGTGTTCAATAGGCACTCTCAAATCAAGTATTGTTTGCATTCAGTCCTAAAATGTAAGACCAGCTGAACATGAAAAGAATATAGCATGTATCTTCTTGATAGCATATTCTTGTGTAATACAAGCAATTATATGTCAGCAAAGGGGTTACTCACTTTTCCATCCTTGGATGTCCCTGCAACTTGACCTGTTGCTATAGTGATCCTATCAGGATGGACAGCCAGGCTATAGAAAAGAAAGGCCAAACTTAAAACCATTTATTAACTATTTCATCAAAATTTTGCTTTAGCCTGTAATAAATAGCCTTAGTTTAGTCATATAAGACACTTAGCATACATGTAAAGATTTTAAAAATAAAAACCAGAACCAACCAAAGAAATTTCATGTTCTTTTACTGAAAAAAAATATGCCCTTGTGAACCAGGTAGTAATTTGCTTAAGCCCTAATACTGCAAGCATGTATCAAACAAGCCTTAGTCTACCTTATGTTGGGATTCATCCCACCTAGATTTAAAGTGATTACAGCATATAATGAGTTCACAATTTGTGCTACTTATCTAACTTCAGATATCTCTAATCAGAGGTTGTAGAGACCTGGTCAGTACAGTCAATGCTGTCTAGCAGCAATCCTCCAAAGCAAACTTATGTGTATCCATTCCAACATTGTTCCTCAGACTGTACTGGCCAGATATTCAGTGACTCTTATAAAGAATTACCAACTTCTCTCTAATATTTTTCAAAGGTGAAAAAACATTCTTTAGTAAGTAAGAACCAGGATACAGAATTTAGGAATTTTGATTCCAAAACCTGAGATTTTAAAAAATGTAATCAATGTTAACTAATGTCTCTAAGGAAAAAACAATCTAAAATTTGTATTAAGCCTGGAGTACAGTCTCCTTTTGCCCCAACATCCTCTCTTATTTTTTCACTGCAGCTGATTTACATACAGTTCTAGAGTCAAAGTGCCCTGCAAAATGAACTGTGGCAATAATTCATTCAGCTTTATAATGCAGAAAGGTATCTTCTTTCTAGTAGACCTGAAAGCTTTCAAATACGTAGAGTCACAAAATTTGAAAAAAAATAAATTAGATGGAACATGTCCAAGTTAAAAATCTTGTAAAATGACTAGATTATACAAAGAATTCAATTTTAGGAAACACGCTTACAATGCATCCAGATTTGATTATTAGGTCTATTTTTGGCTTTGAGGGACAACAGGTGTTTCATAATGATTAATCTAAAGAGGAGATGTCAAACTAATTTAATATACTAGGGCCCATCAAATAATCCAGGTGCTCATTTTAAGCTACACTCAGCAAGCAGACAGATTCCATCAAGATAAACCACGTTTATCTAGATTTCAGTTTGACGATATTGATATTTCCTGATACCTATTCTCCTCTGAGCTTGAACACAGCTAACTCACTTTGAAGCCCAAGCTGGCATGAAAGGCAGCAGACAAGCCAGGCTGCTCAGGTTGAGTTTCCAGGTTATCGGCTATGATGTAGACATGCCTGAAGACTACCAGGAAGACTGCAGATGAGATTAAAACTGTTTCATTGGTTAGACTGTGCCTAAAGGACCTATACCTGGCACCAGAGCCCAGGTGAATATGAATAATGTAAACCTACTTAAAAAAGGAAAGAAGAAGAATCTAAAGGAGTAGTTAATGTCAAATCATCCCAAAACAGTGTAATGAAGATCAGTGGATCTAAAGATTAAGTCAGATTTCTGTTTTTCTGTATTCTCAATGTAGAAAGTATATTAGTTATGGAAAATGAATTTTCTCAATTAAATGCAAGGAGAAGTAGTTAGTAACTGAGACAGAGAGACAAGCAGTAACTTGGAAAACATCAATACAGCAATTGCATGTAGAAACATCCAAATGAGGTAGCACAGCACGTATGGCAACACAGACTTGAGGTAAGTTTCACAAGCAAACTCTAGCTCTGTTAGGGACATATTTGATATCCTCAGGTTTGTGCCATCACACCCTGACAGCAGTTGCTTCCTGAGCTGACTAGATAGAGCTATAACTATAACAGGCATTTGACATTCTTGTCATCACTACAGGCAGACCTTTATTTGACTGCAAATGCAGTGTCAGGCATAAGGACTCAACCCACGCCAGATTCTGAAGTTAGATCAAATTTTCAGAACTATATTAAAGACCAAAACATTACCTTCCAAATACTGTTTTATAAAGAAAAAACAATGGTTACTAGGTAACTTACCACTTCACATCATCATTATGACCAGTGTAATGTCTCTGAAGTTGCTCTTCAACATTGAATAACACAACTACTGAGGCGATGAAATACACAGTTTCGCCCGTTGGAAGAAGGTAGAGATTACTGCGACAGTCCCGACCCCTATATCCATAGCTACCATGTTGGTCAAGCTGCAATAACATTATCTACCAATGAAGAATGTTAAAAATAAGGAAAAACAGAATGGATTCTCTGTTCCTGTATTTTCTGAAATCTGCATCTCTTGGTTTGAGCACACCTTTATCACTTGACAGCTTTCAGAACTGCCTCCCTTACTACAGTAAAGAGAGCTAAAGCGTTTCGTAGACTGAGTTACTAAAAACCTACACATCCTACAGAAAATACATGGTAAAGAATATAGGAGTTTGTAAACATACTATCCCTTTAGTATCCTCTAGAATTTGCTAAATGCCTGGCTAAGGCAATATCAATTTTGTCCCAAGTGTATTTAGACTTGATGGAAATGCTAACAAGTCATTCATTACATCTCCCTGCATTACATCAGAACTGATTACATTATCCTGTGTGCAGGTTGATTGATTTCATTATTCTGGGCATCACCAGCCAGATGGATATGAAACCGTAAAAGGGTTACATCATCCGTTCCAATTTATTTTTGTAGCATTTAAAAGGCAGCAGCCCAGATTCTGATGCTAGTCATATCAATGCTAATCTAAAATTAATCCAATTAAATAACTGGAATTAATCCAGAAATAATCTAATTTAGATTGAATGTTAATTCAGCCAAATTATGTAGTTTTATTCTTCTGAAGAGTCATTAGGGACTACAACTATTTTGGCTTTCCTTTTTTTATAGGAACAGAGAGAAACAGCATCAGCAGAATCTTGGCAAAACAGAATTGTATTCTAATTCAGTAAATATGGAGAAACTGGCTGTGATAAGTATATGGAGAGGTACTGAAACCCCAATTACATTATATTAAAAAGATACTTGTGCACTATTTTCTATGGTCAATGATAACCCAGTCAAACTAAAATACTCATGCTAATACTATCCAAGAAGGTCAGTAGTTGTCATACTTCTAAAACAGGAATTTAAATAACAGCTTTCTCATTTTGTTTGTTTGTTTGTTTGTTTGTTTGTTTTTTCCCTAAGAAATGCAATAAGAAGTAGGTCTACATATGCAACCATCAATATGTGCATTGAAAAATACAGCTTTTGTACTCCCAATCTGAAATATTTCAGCCAAAATTCCTTTGAGTTTGAGATATTAAAATTTGAAGACATGAAAACAATAAATATCTTCAAATTAAAAAGCATTTACTATCAATTTTGAATCTGTTCATAAAGGTTAGAGTTACTACTCTAGATTTCTGAACAATGTTTTATTTATTTTTTTCTGTAAGGCCAGATACCATTACCAAATGAAGCCAACATAAAATTGCCCTAGTTCAACAATACATAATCAAGTTAGTAATAAACCAGCAGTTGAAGTTAGCATAAGGAATTGAACTTTTAAAAAAAGTGAAGTAAAAACATTATATAGGCATTTATAAGGAACAAATCTCTGTGCATAAAAATAAATATTAAATGGGAAAGATTACATTCTTTAGGGAAAATCTCCTTTCTTTACAATTCTTCCTGTAGGGAACAATGCTGAATTCAACCCTTTGCATGATTGCTGTTGTCAAACACTTAGTGTCTTTCTATCAGCCTTTTTTCTCAGATGTAAACTCCTGGGGTTGATCTCTCCTCCTCACTGTTTCCCATACTCTGATTAGGTGGCTTCAACTTTGATTTGGTGAGCTGGCCCTTCAGAGAATGTTACCTTGATCTTTTATTTTGACCTGCAGCTTTTGTTTCAAACCTCCTGCTTGACAAGTGACCTGGTCTCAGACAGGTCTGTGCAGACTATCTCTCCTGCCCTGATGTCCCCAGTGCCAATTTCTTGCTCAAGTTTTACCACCTCCACTCCAGCCCTCCCAGAGACCTCATCACACTCATCGTTTCTGTTTCTTGGTGTCTGAATATAACTGATGTGGTCTGAACCTGTACCAGCAGATACCTGCTAACGTGACTGTAAAACTCCTTTATGGTTCAGGTATGTTCGGAAATCTACACACATTAGATTTTCTTCCATCTGTTTCTCATCAGTCTGCTTTGCCCTTTCCATTTGTCCATCTCACCTCTGATATCTTGTTTCTGTATACCCATTCTTACACTACAAAGCACTTCTGGCTGTAACCCCACAGAGAGGCTGATTTGTCTGCTACAAAGATATCTTCTACTCCGTTTCTGTTACCCTCCACCCAAACAGCTCTGCTTTTCCAATTTAAATGGAATGAATGCCTGCAATATTGGTTGGTTTTCTGATGTCTTTGCCTTTCTCCTTAAATTATTTTATGGTCCTGCACCCAGTTTTTCTTCTTATCATTACAGTCTCTAAATTGGGCATTAACATATCTCTCTCTCTTCCCTTTTTTTTTTTTTTTTTTTTTTAAGTCTTTCATATAGCTAGTCATTTGTGTACCTTTTAAGTATGTATAGCATGACTGGGTTTAACTGAAAAGAAATTAAAAGCTGAAAAGACAGAACAGTGTTTTTGGAAAAATATGCATCCTCCTCACTAACCATTTAGGGTTAGTTAGATCATTTTATCAATTCATAACTTTTCTATTAATTCATACCTTTTCTATTCACAAACAACCTTTATATATAGGATTCTACTGTGCATAGAGATACACAGCTGTAAGGACATAGGAATATTCAAACTAAAAATAATGCTTCATCTGTCAAATATTCAGCCATTTAAGTAAGCTTAAGTGAGAAACTAATGAGACTGAAATTATGACCCACTCTCATTATAATTTCTTATAATAGTCTGAAATATTAGCTTCAGCTTCCACCTACACACTAGTGACAATCTGTTTTGCTTTGTGGTTGGTTTTTTTGTTGTTTCAGCATTCAGCCTAGCACTTTCTCCTGCACTACCCCTAGGCCTCCCAAGCAAGGGGCACCTTACAAGTGTAAAAAGATCATTCAAATCTTTTGTGATATATGATGAGAGCCTGTACAACAGTTAGATAGTAAAATGCTGCAAGCAGTATTTATCACTCTAATCTCAGCTGTTTTACTGGTTTTGTGGATATTTTTGTTGTTGTTGTAACTCATCTTCAGTTATTTCTGTACGCATTGTCTATGCAGTTCCAGCAGAGTGGGATAGAACCCATAGGCTCAGATGCAATAGGAATAATAAGAATAGTTACTAAATCTGTCATTAATCCCTTGCGAATACAGTGGGACTTTTGGAAACTCTCTGTGTGCACTCTGAAACCACATGCAGTTCTATTTATACAACTTTGAAAAAGACTATATGCAGCCTGCCTTCTATTTTATGAAGACAAAGCAACTTCCTATTTGGACTGCTTGGGACAAAACCAGTGTCTTTTTCTTAAAATAGAAAACCTAATGAAGACTTTGTCTCTCTAAAGATAGTGGATATTACAAACAGACCCAGACCTTGTTGTGTTTATATTTTATCTTGAATTATCTATTACATATACTAATATTATACATTATAAAAATGAAATGTCATTTCTTTTTTCAATAAAGAATATATTTTTTTTTACTACATTTAAAAGTGAAATGTTAACATTTCTGTATGTAATAAAACGCTGAGTTATTTCAAGTTAAGATTCTATAATTATGTCCACTCATAGAAGTCAGTGGAAAATTCTGGTTGTTGGGTATTTACAGTTCTTAAATACAGTTTAAAATCTAAGTTCAAACATTATTTTATATACGATACTTTATGAATTTTATTGCTAAGCACCTATCTGTTACAATACACTATTCAATTCAAGGTTTATTCAAGTACTGAAGTTGATTATAACATCCTCTAAAGGACAATGGTGCACATTTTACAAAACACAGTTTAAAACAATAAATTATTGCTGAGAATCAGCAAAAAAACCTGAGCTTGTTTTAGGTATACTATAATTATCAATCACAGCTCGCTACCTTCTTACAATATGCCTAGTTTAATCTTTAGCTAATTAGCATGCTTCAGACTTAACCTTCAGGCAACACTCAAGCAAAATCTTTCTTAAGCTGCCACCCTATACTTCACAAGGTACAGAACAGCAGCCTCAAGAAATTAACACCTATTTTCAATGAAATGTTGCTTCACTAATGAAATGATCCCTATGATCTTAACTTGCTATACTTTAGCTCAAAAAGTTATTTAAAACAAATCACTAAGAAATTACTGACTTCCAGTAGTCCTCTAACACAGAAAGGATACACCCATTCCAGTTTAAGTCTCTTGGCTGGTAGCTCAACTTTTGCTTCCAAATTGTAAGATTCCACTTGCTCTTTGGGCATGTACATGGTAACAGGACGTCCACGAAGAAACATTTTCACGTATCCTTCCTCTACAAAAGGTCAGAAATGCTTAATGTTACACAAAAAAACATCAGTGGATAACTCCAGTGCTTCTCCATCCCTTCCCACTTAACAGTTTGGTTTGTTACAATTACAGAACAACATGCAATCCCAAACTTGGAAATTAAGCAGGTTTTTTTTTTTTTTTCTTAAATCATAATCACTAAGCAGAATTTTTTTTAAAACATACAAAGTCTCTTTTTCCTTTAAATATTCTGAGCAGCAGAATTAGAACTGAACAACCTCATGAAGAACTAAAAAACTGAAAGGACTTAAATCAAAACTTTTTTTGGCTACAATATTACATTTTTAAAATATTAAAAATGAAGGAGGAAACATCAAAGATTACAATTAATGCAGAAATTCCACTTAAAATTAATTTTATTTTTTAATCAATATTTACAGTTGAGCATCAGCATCTAAAGTATTTTCCAACACTCAGTTGCATTCTTTGCATCTTAGTGTAAAGATATAAAGATAGGCTTTACACTTGATACAGTGTTAGAGATACATTCAAAATAAGGAACACAAACAATTAGTAAAAGGAATCATGCTGATGTACATGCAGAAAAGATATGTGCTTGAGGAATTACTAAACATTGAAAAAGGAATGACAACATTGACAGCACATTAAAAGAAAGGAAAATGACATACAGGAGAGAATCTACAAAGACTGAATTGGCTGACAGAAGTAAACATTTCTAGCAGAAAATACTAAAAGTAATGTGTTGAACTGGTAAGAAATATTTTTTGGGGAGAGAAGCAGGGATTAGTAACAGATCTGGAAGTACTGACTTGGGGACTTCATGGGGTTTATAAAACTAGGAGATCTGGGAAATGCCATGAAGGTCTGACTAGAACTTTTGGGAACTGGCAAGGCCAAAGTGGGTGTCCTGTGAACTTCTGGTGAAGTTTGTCCAGATTCAGAACGTGTTGGCTCTTGCTGCTCCATCGGCAGATTAAGGGGTTCAGCCTTGTTCTCATGCGAATCAAGCAGCTTTGGAGTCAGTGACATCTGTAGAGTTACTAGACAGAATAATCATGGGCACAGAGGAAATGGGAGGGCAGAAGTAACAAAATCATGTAAATGAAAAAAAATTATACAATTCAGGACTGTTAAAAAAATGTTATGAATTGTTAAGTATCATTACAACTATACCATTATTTTTTTTAATTGAAAACTAAGGCTTTATTTTAATTGGAAATATGCATACACTACAAATCCTGACTAAATTAATAAAAATTATTGGTTGAACAAATAAACATCATAACTATGCTGTGTTACTTAAATATATGTGTATTCTGACTTTAGACTAATTCATTTGGGAAAGACATCTACTTGATCTGTCACAGTGAAGTTACAGCTAGAACTCTCTAGCTTCATTTACAGAATTCATACATGTAATGAAAACAACAGAAAACTGAATGCTAAAAAGAAGTAATAACAATGGTAAAATAAGGGTGACAGATGGTTGGAACTTAAGATGCCTGTTAAAATTCTAGAATACTGGAATTGTTTTTAAAAATCTACTCCAATAGATCTGTATTGGAAAATAAAAGAGGGAAGTGCATTAAATAGCAGAGCATTACAGCACTATTTGTATGCACATGCAGCATCTATTTAATGAGCTTGAAACACATGCCAATACTACTGATGCTGGTGCACTGGAAGTCAATAGATTTTTCAGCAGTGACAACCACTAATTGTGCTTATGGAAGGCTGGGAACGAATGGAAGTATAATTCATTGAACTGCTTTTCTTACCTGAAACTTGCATCTATCCATCTACAGTGGAAGCATTTGACCTAGTCACTCAAAACTCCTTTTTAGAGTAAATAGGGAGAAACAGGTACTTTTGGACAAATTAATCACATTGTAAATCAGATGTCCAAAAGCAAATATACTAAATTATACCAAGTATATAAAATTATGCCTTCTGAATGCTTCTTTCTCTCTACTAACAATAAAAAGGAACTTAGGTTGACGAGGTCAGGCACAGAAATACATACTGTGTATTTATATCTAACTTTTGGTAATATTAATTCCATCTGTACTCATTTTTGTTACTAATCCAAATTTATTATCTACATCCCTTTGTACTTTTCTTAACAAAGTTTTTAAGACAGAAAAGTTCTAAATGTGAAGATATAGATGTAAAGACAGACAATCATCAAATTATAAAGACAGACCAATAGTGAAACTTTTAGACAAATGTATCTTTTACATCTGCAATTTTGTAAATTTGAAATTGTCATTGAAAATGACTGCAAAAATTAACAGTTACTGAAGTGCAATAATAAGACATGTGAATTCTAGCAGGATCTGCAGAAGCCACTACTTATTGCAGGCATAAAATTGTACAAATAATACACAGAGTTAGAGGCTCTCTAAAAGATTTTGCCTTGACATCAAACATTCTTTGCTCTGTGAAATTTTAGATTTGATGCAAAGCTGAAAGATGCTGATTAGTAGGAAAACTGTTAGGCTTAACTATCTCTAAAAAGCAAGACAAACCTGTGATTATATCGCAGATATAAACATGCATCAAAAATGTGCATATTTACACTACAATTTAACTACAGCGTTAGAAAACAACATAGTATGTTTACCAAATATAACTCTGCTTTATGACCTTGAGCAAAAAGCACTGAGAAATTAGTTGGAGGCCTAGGTCTGTTTATTCAACATTCAGAAAAATCTACAGGCTACTCAGTAAGAAAAAGCAAAGGAAAACCCAAGACTTCTATAATCATGTTAGGCTAACAGCAAAATAGCCAACAAAGGGCAAAATTCTATATGAATTTCAGCAAAAGTGCAAAACACCATTTCAAACACAGTGAACATCCATGTGTTGCCATATAGCTCTCTCAACATATTTTTTCTAATTCAAATTCTTCTGCAAAAGTCCACAGAAATCTAAATTATAACCCATTGTTATTATTAAAGTGCACCTGAGGGTTATAATTCAGTAGACTTCACAATAGATGGTATCATACTTTTGTTTCATTCAAAAAACTAGAAAAGCTTGAACATTGCAAAATGCACATAAGGTAGAAAATAGTTGTTTACGCATTGAGCTTTTATCTCACCAGTACCATTTTGCTTCGAGAGCTATGAGGTTTTGGAAGTGAAGCCTACCTTTGCAGTGTGTCACACGGCGCTTCCCTTGTGATTACAGAGACAGAGACAGAAGGGCTAGATAAAGATGTGTTTGAATACAATAAACTCACTAAATACTAAATACCTGCTTCAACTGGCTGTCCAGTTGTATACTGCTGAAGGCTAACCTGGTGCTTGGCAAAACACTGAGCCATACTCCATGCCATTTGTTGGGTAATTGCAGTCGAAATCCTTTTCCTCCAGCTAGGGCCTTTGTTTAGTTCTTCTAATATTAAAGTATTAGTTTAAGCTCCATTATGCAACTATATGCTTAAATAAAATACCAAGTATCATTTTCTTAGAAAAAAATAATTAATTTCAGTAGGAATTTTGTCCAGGTGAGAAGGATAAAAGCAGTGTCACATATGTTTTATTACTGATTTTTATCTAAAGGAAAAGTGTCAGAAGAAAAATCATTCCAAATGCCTTTGCTTACATGGTGCAAGGGAAGGAGAAATGTTATGCAAGAGAAGTATATTCTGTGCAAATCAGAAGTTTTCTTTTTCTAAACCAACAGTTGTCATTAAAGGGACACGAACTGTGATTGTATTGTCACAAAAGACTTAAGTGCTTGCTTAGTTTTGTATATTATTGAGTTCATAATCAATTACACTAAGCCTTGAAGTATGGCTTAAGAGCTTTGCTGGATGATGATCAATTGGTGCAGTAAACAAAAGATTTTCTACTTTTCCAGCTTAATGTATGATTACTGTCACAGAACTATAGACAAAAATAATATGATATATCTGATAAATCAACAAGGTTTTTTACCTTCCTTATTTTATTAAAATAAAGCTTTTATTTTAATTTTCTGTATTTTTTCAGAACAAAAATAATTGTTATACATACTATTCAGCTTAATATCTTTATTGAGATGGTTCAAAAGTTTTTAACTAATGACAAGAACAGTCTCTGCTTTCACTTATACTTACTATTTCACTTTTGAAATCTTTTTGCTGGGATAATACATAAGTAGGAAAAAATTTAAATTATTTTCAAATTAAAGATAGATTTCCAAAACTGTAGTAACAAACTACCTTTTTTATTTTCAATTTGACCAATTTTATTACAAGGCATTGGGACAGATGTGGCGTTCTTTAACAGTAGTTGAAGGCTTCCTTTTATTACTAAATTAACATGACAGAATCATAGCTGGAACTCGGCATATGCTTGAATTAATAAATCCTTAATACTGCTTTGAAAGGGAAGACATTTGGGGGAAGAAGACATGGCCTTTTTCTTCTTTGTCTTCTTACAAAAAATTCTAACTGTAAAATAAACCTATTAGGCCAATATAAACTAGAGAAAAATTATCAACTTTTTAAAAATACATCATCAACATCCTGTAAGTATCATGTTTATATTCCCAATACCTGTTTCTAGGCATCCACAGGAAAAAAAATAAAAAAGTATTATGTTATCACAGTTGTTATTTCCTTAAAAAATGTAGAAGTTCCTACCTGCACTGAACATTGGTTCCTTGGGTTTGCTGTGAAAATAATGAAGAAATTTCTATTTTAAAAACCATGCACATACAGTCTGCACATCTAAAGGTATCAATAGAGTATCAAATTTAAAATATAATATAAAACCTGTAACTTTTTGTGTGTGTGTACATATAAATAAAAATACTTTTTCAATTCAATTACTTACAAGGTAAATCCCCAGGCAGAGACATCTAAAGCCAGCATACATTGTGGCTCCTTTATGACAGATGTTAAAACTTTTACATTCAATTGTCCTTACATTCTCAAAACTATAGATTTTCCTCCACTAACTACCAAATCCTCCTCTTCTGTAAAGTTATTCCAGTTATAGGAGAACACAGAAACTGGTCATGAGCAGCTGCATCAGTTTTGGTTTCCAGTCAGTGAGATTTGTAACTCTAAAGCAGTCTACAACTATAATAGAAAGCTAGGAATATATCCTTAACTACAACATCTCTCTTCATGTGTGGAGCAGGGGTGGCTACTGTGTCAGTGCATGTGTGGGTGTTCGCTTACTTCATGGCTTTGTTTTCTCTGGATTTAAGGAGCAAACTACAGCTTGAATCCTGTTTTTCCAGGGAATCTACCTAAAACATGGAACTGCCCGATTAGTTCTTGGTGAATGACAGTACATTGTAAAACCCAGAAAGCACATATCCATTGTGATTAAAATGTCTTCTCTTTCTCACTGCATTGCTCTCTGGAAGACAAGCTGAAATCAGTTTGTCTTTTTGTCTTGATAAAGTATTTGGCAAAATTTGAGGGGGAAATGAACTGTGTGGAGAAGGAAGAGGAAGAAAAGCTGAGGAGCTCTCTGGATAATACTACTCTGGCCAGAAAGAAGCAATATTTTCAAGAAATGCCAGTCATTTGTTTTCTTTGTCCTTTGCCCCTGTATAATCAGGCTTAAGGGTATTGTTTCTGATGGAGCATGAAAGAGACACAAAGCTATATTGTGCAGTTATTTTTCTTCCCAGTTCCATTTTCTTTCTACCCAGTAAAACTTTTGAAATATATTACTGTTGTACGTTTCTTAGGGTGATCCCAAAGGAGTTGAAAGCCCTGTCATTCTGGAGAAATGCTGAAGCATGAAGTATCCCTAGAGCTGTGATGCCATCTCCACATCCACTCCTAGACTGCAGTGGACAGACAGAGAAATCAATAAAATAAACGAAACTGGGTTGAATTTTTGCACACATTTTTGTTCTAAGCATAAAAGATTGTCCCTCTCTACAATAGAAGTTGTATCAAATAATTTTACAGTATTTTTCCTTTTGCTGTGACAGTAATATTGAGAATAAGACATTTACTTAATGATAAAACCAAAACAAAACAGAAACAACAAAAAAAAATTCTACGGATCCTACCCACCTATTTAGCAACTTTTCATAATATCAGCCTTAGTGTTAATCATGCATCAAAATTTCTGCTTTAACAGCCAATCTCATCTATATAAATAGCATGATGTACTGTCATTGTTAACACCCAGATTAACATCTTCTCCTATGAATGAAGATATTTTTAGAAAATAAAATCTTTATGGGATGAAGCATTAGTCAGAAATGATGCCATATTAGAGACAAAAGAGTTCGTAGTCATGAACAGACTATGCTGACTTATTCAAACTAATCAAGCTAATGTGAAAGGCTGATTCATGACAGTAATAAAGCAAATCATATGTACTTTCTAATTATACAAATGCTAACCACAGACACAGCTCAGAGCTCTGACTACCATTTCTCTTTTTCATGAATTTGAGTCACTTCTTACTTATCTAACCCTTAGGAAGGTTTACTCCTGGCTCACAGCCATAGGGAGTTGGGACATCCCATCACAGCATGGGAGATTATGGTCATCTCCTTACTCCTTATGCTTAAAGCTGCTTAAAATAGCTTTCTGTAGCATTATGTTTTTGTGTAACAGCCTACAACTTTATATGCTTTGAAAAACAGTAATTTCACGACTGCCTTTTTAGATTTCTGGCATGTATTCTGCTTAAAGCTTCATCTACAGACCAGACACAGAATCACAGAATCATAGAATAGAATCAGAGTATCTCACGTTGGAAGAAACCCATAAGGATCAATGATACAAATAATAAGGCTGTGAGTAGATGGTTAAGTGACACCCTCACTCTTTCACACAAACAGTTCAGCTTTAGCCCGCAGTGTACAGAACATGCTCATTTTCCTTCCAGTCCCATGACTCTTGCTTTATATTTTGCACAGTGGCTGAGCTTCAACATGAAGCGCGAGGTGAGTCTTTAGCCAGCCTCTTCCACAGGATAAGGACACTCTTCAAGGATGTGAGAGCTGTGGTGCTGAACACCCTCAGGCTACATGTGACAGAAATCAGGGAAAAGTCTCTAATGACACAGTGATTGTTCTGATGGCGGCACCAACAGCACTAGCTCCAGCTCAGTCAACCTAATGCGCACTCTCAAATTATTCCTTGGGATACTTGTGTTTTATTTAAGCGTTGCATCACCTGTGTGCTGGACCTCCTCCCTGAGTCCAAAGCAAGTGATTTCTGATCAGTGCTGTTGCTCAACCCTTTGTGGCCTAACAACAGCAGAACGACATAACCATTGGATTTCTGTTAGAACAGTATGAAAAAATCAAAAATGCATATTAAGTACCATGATAAACTTTAGACCAGAACCAAAACAATTTTGCAGATAACCATGAATTATGTCGTAATGCTTCTATTTCTCAGCTATTTTGGAATCCATTTTTCAAGTGTACAGTACCTCTATGTAGCTACTAGAAGTCATACCTCTCCTTAGTTTAAATGAACAATCTGATTAATATTCTCACCTTATTCTTTAGTAGCTTTAACACATAACTAATTTCAGATAATTATCACCTTATGCAGGTAGCAGGAACTCAGGGATATCTTCAAAAAACAAACTTTGCAAAGCACCATATTTAGATTTTGACAGGTATATGTTCCACTGCAGAACACATAGAATTCACCTCTGAAGGATTTGATCTAATGAAATTTTTTATACAAGATAAAATACATAAAGGACACTGTAGGATTATCATGTGTTTGTTAAAACTTAAAAAAAAAAATATGGTAAATTACTGCAGTAAATTGGAAAGTAATGACATTTAGCACTGGTAGGTGAAATATTCCTGTTCATGTTCCAGAAACAAGTCTACCCATCTAATTAGAGAAACTTAATTTTTTAACAAAAATTTTCCATAAGAAATTAATTTTGTTTATGTGGGTTTTTTTAAATCAATGAGTTCACAACATAAGGGCTGTTGCTATAATTTGATATGTGCAATAGATTAGGAAGTTATACATGCACGTAAAATAAAAAGTAAAGCCTTAGAAAAATCCATCAGCTTCAAGGGATCAATACAGAAAACAGCAGCTCCTTGTAAATGACTTCGCTGAGGAAATGTAGCTGCATGAAGTTATGCACTATCGCAACACTTCACAGAACTTCCAGTTTAAACTAAGAACAAGCTTTTATCTTCTTGGCAGTCCCTTTACCAGTCATTATTTTTTTGCTTATTTTTGCCTTTCAAAACTTTCAAGCTCACTTATTCCTAAGAGTATTGATACTTGGTTTGCTGCTTCAGCAGTATTCTATCAGATGTACCAAGGTTTACATTCTCTATTCTAGAAGGGTCTGAGACATTTAGCAACAATTTTGTTCAAGTCTGCACATTCAGAAAGAGACATGGCTCTTAAGTAATCCAATAAGATATTGATTTTCCTCTCAAAAGTAGTATTTATTTATGGATTACTTAAAAGAGTTAACTGCTACAGTAATTATTTTTTTTTGCAATTATATTTCAGCCTTTTAGGAATTTTAAAGTACAAAAATCTTATAAACAAAACCAAAACCATATCTACTTAGTTATCTGTTGTTTATAAGTATTTTACAAAAAAAATAAGGAAAACAAAAATCAGATGCTGAAATAAAGCCAAATTTCCGTAAGTACCAGAAGGCCCAGTCCCGCAGAATTCTGGTAGCTTATAAAAATCTCGTTCACACACACAGCTGCACAACGCCAAGAAGATTTCACACTGCTTAAATTTTTAGTTTGTGCAAATATATCTTCCTTAGTTACAATTTTATAACATTTTATCTAATGGCATTCTGAATTTTTTCATTATTCTCACGATTTGCTAAGCCTTTCACAAGTTTCATAAACTTTGCACACTTGCTGTCTTGCTTCATAGTTGAAAATATAAGACAGAAAACAAACTATTAATAATGTAATCACCCATATTCAGACTGTCCATTAGTACACAACCACCTCAGTCGCTCCTTACATCAAGCAAGGATGCTGAAGGGATGTTTTGTGCCACACCATTGGCTCATGAGCAGTCCAATGGCTCCTATGATGGCATTGATGCCCAGACAGAGCAGGTAAATTAGGTTATGATGTGATCTTCATTAACATTGCTTCTGTAGTCACATCATCTGTGAGATAGTAAAGCAATACCATCAACACCCAATTTCCCATGGAAAAGCTGAATAAGACTGGTCAAGTGAAATGGCCAAGACTAAAATCTGTCTTGGAAATACAGGAAAAAAAACAGTTGACCAACACTGACAAACCACAGTGAGTCAGCTATTTGCTCAAGACCATCTTAGGTCTGAAACATTTGGACAAGACATTCTCTTTTCTTTGAACTGTCAGCAGTACAGAGAAGCATCATCAGAGATACACAGAGGTAGGCATCGCTTTATTCTGCTCCTTTGGATAACACTTGCATGAAAGCCTCTCCCTCCATTTCTCTTTAGTCTCATGCTGAAACCAAGGCAGTCATTGCTCAGAGACTGGCTGGGCATCAGTCTATATGTGGGGGAGGTGGTGAGTGATTGCTTTTCATCACTTGTTTTGTTTTTACTTCCTCTCTCATTCCCTTAATAAACTGCCTTTATTTTGACCTATGAGTTTTCTCACTTTCTCTCCTTCCTAGGGAGTGAGTGACTGTGTGGTGCTTAACTGCCAGCTGGGGTCAATGCACCACAACCAGGAACGTGAAGAACAACATGTCAGGAACTTGAAGATGAAGGGAAACCACTAAGATCATAGAAAAGTCATGTTTAATAATTACAAACTTTTCCAGGCAACTCGTGTTCCTCATATTGTTTATGGTTTGGAAATAAGGCAAATAAATTTTATCTAAATTTGGAAACCTGTTTTATTTGAAATGTTTTAAAATATATTTTTGTCCAACTGTTGGATCTTTAAAAGGAAAAAAAAAAAAAGCTCCCAGTATTTGCTAAACTAGAGATACTAATTCCACTAAAGAAACAGATTTCATTATTAGGGCAGTAGGCAGAGAAAGGAGATAGGTACACAGATAACATTACCTTTCACTGTTCTTCTTACCACTAGATGAACTGCTGGTGGATCCAGTGCGGTTGCGACTCCCTTTGGAATCTCCATAGCTTTCCCTCCGACCACCTGGGGACACACGCTCAGCTGAACTGGTTCTCTTAATGGTGCTAATAAAAAAATGAGCAAGTTTTACAGTGGCACTTGTAAAAGCACATATCTCTATGACAAATATTTTTGAGAAACAAATCAAGTATAATGCTGACCCTAAAAATAACTACAACTTTGGTTTTAATCATAACTTGATTTGTTTAAAAACTAACGAGTACCTGGTGCAAAGAGGCAAACGTATTGTTTTTTTCTTAATCATAAAGTAGAAGATGGGCTAAATCAATATCATAGAGTAAGTTGCAATATCTGTTTTCCAGGTCACATTTCAAATCTTTTGACTACCATTTCACACTTCTGGACTTTTAGATTCTCTTAATAAGAAGAGTAAGACTTAAAGAGAAAGAATATTTCCCAACATCTCCAGCCAGACACCAGACAATGACAAAAGCAGGTCAAAATTTGAGCATCAGCAAGCTAACTTTGTGGTTTCATTCAGTATCAATTATTCCACAGCTGAAAGCTAGTTTTAACACACCCCAAAGTGCAACTAATGGTGAGCTAACGTGCATTTTTTCATTAGCTTGTCAAAAATGTATGTTTCCTACTTACATGTATGAATAGATTAGATTCCCCACATCTCCTAACAAGGGGTTTCTCAAAGGCTTAGAGCTTGCCTTACTCTCTCACTCTTCAACCATCCTACCTGCCAAGATAGCTATCAGGGGGCTCCTGTATGACTTTATGGCATCCCTTAGACATCCAGCTCTCTCTGATGGAAAAACATGAGCCAAAACACAAACAGTATTACTTAGTAAATTAAGAGAAGCCCATGCTTACACTTAATAGGAGACAAATTATTGTGGTTGTTCGTTAGTCCAAAGCACTTCTCCATAAAACAGTGCTTCCTAGCAGGAGAGGGAGCAGTTAAGGGTGAGGCTCTGAGCTGGGTGATGCTCTTCACTTTGCTGCACTCCCTGTGCAGCAGGGAGTCTCAGGCAATGGGACTGATTCCTGGACCGAGGCAGGAATCTCCCCCATGGCAGCAGCTGAATGACAGAACTCACTGTCAGGTCCTCCTTTACGCCCACCCTAGTCCTGTGCTGTTTTCTCCCCTCCAAAGAACAGAACAGAAACATCCCCTTTATCCATAACACCCCATAACTAAATGGCCACCTCAGTGGCTCTCTTGCCCTAGAAGCCCAGGACACCAATGATTGCTTTCAAGCTCACACCCCTCTACTCAAATCCCAACCACAAGCTCCCTCCCTCTGTGAAAACTTCAGTTCCTCCTGTTCCTGCTCCTTCAAGGCTCAGCCTCAACCCAGTTACCCTTTTCACCATCCCCAGCCAGCTCCCCCTTGACCTCCATACACCCCCAGGGATGCTCTGCTTACCATAAGGCTCATCTCAAGCATCCCTGAGGACTATTCCAAACTTCTTCATCATTCCCTGACGACAATCCCTACCCTGTTATCTCAGTCAGCTCCTCGGTTGTGTGTGGTATAAGAAGGAGAGGCATCGGCTCTTCATAACTAAAGGAAATTAGATGGACTTTTCTCTCAGGTCAAAAAATATTCATCTTATCAACTGTACACCAGCACTGATACCCTTTTTTTTTTTTTTTTTTTTTTTTTTTAATAATAATAATAAAATATTCCTGCTCCCTCATGTCTTTTTATCATCAAGGAGGGGAATGTCTCAACACCTCAGCTGAGGCTCAGTTGCAGAAACGATAGGAAGAGCCAAAGCTGAGCCTTTCTTCACAGCAACCGTCCTTCTGAAATGAAGGAAGCCCCCATCCAGGGGGAGCACTGAAGAGCAGATGCATGTTAAGATGCATCTCAGGTAACTTGACAAAAAACTTTCTGGAACATGCGATGATAGGAAAACTGTTGAGTGCTGCATTTTTATATTAAAAACAAGCACAATTCAAATGATTAAGCTGAAATAAAAAAAATACTGTTTCTGTGTAGAGAGCAATGTAAGAGAGCAAGCAGAATGTGAAGTTATACACAGGCACAGAACAAAATACTTTTGTAGAAAAATGGAAAAGGCAGTAAAAAGAATTTAATTCTGTCTATTTCGGAAATAAGTGTTTCCTACACTAACCTAACATTATCCAAGTCATCTCAACGTTACATGCATGAAAAAACCTCCTCTAGTACATTAAATAATATACTGTTAACATTTAACTGTTGTCCCTGCATCTCATAACACCATCTGATTTAATACTACTCCAGTTAAAAAATAAAGCCTTGATACTGAAAATGTTTCCCCCACATAAAATAGCTTTATTAGCATGAGTCCATCCACTACTTCATATACAGCACTTGCAAAACCATCCTTTCTATGTGATTTTGCTGGATCAAACCTCTATTTTGGTATCTTTACCTGGCTGAGGAAAAGTAGAGGCAATATCAGCCAAAACTGAAATTAAATTAAGGAAATCACCAAATTATACTAATGTTAGGAAAACTGTAAGTTACAGAACCAATTTTACACTAATTTTAATGTTGCTTGGCATTTTATTTTTATAGCTATCAACATTCAAAAGATGAACTGGTGGATAAAACCCAAATGGGTGGGACTAAAGCTTAAAAGTGTAATGATATCTTCTTTGTGAATAATGAAGTCTCATATCAGTATAAAGACTACTTTTACCACAAGAACAAATTTCTTTTAAACTCTTTTGGCTTACATCCATTACTGCTTAAACTAATTAGTATTGGTATCTTCTGACAAATTTTATTTTAAACTTCCAGCAACAACAACAAAAGCCCAGTAAGAAGTATTAGCAGGTGGTTGGAAAAGAGGATTACAACTCCATTATATTAACTCAATTTTAGCATATACACACTTTGGTAGCTATAGTGTTAAATACCAGTGATTATATCCATGGGTACAGTACATACACTGTCACCAGAGGAGGAATTTAAAATGAAGAAAATATTCATTCAATGTACAGGTTTGTAAGAGTATGACTGGATTCCAGAATTTGGCTTCCACATTGGTGATAGGAAAGGAGAGCATTTTCAATTATTTAAAAAGATAAAAATTGTGTTACAAAATGTTAACTTGTTTAAGATAGCAATGTGGTCTAATGAAACACCCCACAAAATTACGTTAGCATGAGAAAATGCAGATACAATGACTGAAATTATTATTATCTAAGCTTCGCAAAGCATTTATCAATGATGAGAAAGTTTTAGACATGTACTCCTAAAAATGTTAAAAATGGGAATAATAATTACAGTTCTACCATGTTAATGCTTGTACTAAAACAGCCACTTTCTATGTGTTGAACTGAAATGGAAAGGAAAAACAACTGAGCTTCAACACTACAAAGCTATTAAGGATCCCTCACCTTAGAGTAGGCTCTTTCAGTTTGCATGCATTGAGAAGATTCACAGACCTGCTTAATCCAGATTGAGAGGTGCGTAAATAAAGCAGAATAAAAAGTGAATGCAACGATAAAATGTGGAAACAAGACATTTAAAACAAACTTACATTAAAAGACATAATTGCATGCTTTCAAGATATGAAGTCAAGTGCAAGAGTAAACAACACAGTGCTTCTTGACTCAGTTAGATGTTTGATCATTTCAAACCATACATTTAAGAACACCAATGTATCTTTGAATGACAAAATCTCAGCAATTCTCCAATACACAGACCATTTGTAAAGCGACTCAAAAGAAAATAAAAAAGAAAATCAAAGAGGCTATCTGAAGAAACAAGACAGATGATCCAGCTAGAAGACAAAGACTATTAAAAAAACAACAATAAAGGCAAGAAAATAAATCCTCATGTACCTATATATTAGACGGTTGCATTACTGAATTGTGGTGAAAAATCTGGACAACTTTTAAAATCCCATATACTTAATTACCAAAAATTATTTTTAAAATAGAAAAGCTTTTTAATAAAATAAATCTTAAAATAGTGCACAATACTCGAGACAATAACTGATGATATTAAAAATATTTTAAAACTTGTCTAGCAGTTTTTCTGACCCTCATTTAAATCAATTAGAATAAATTCAAGAATAATATATGACTTTAATTTCATTATGCCTTTGAGTAAAATGCACTAATAATTTTAACTGTTAGAGATATAGGGAAGTGGCATAGTAGTTTTGCCACTCAAAGTTCAATGGAGAAGGGTTTCTTTTTAATTTATATTCTGTTTATTTTAAAACATTTTCTTTGAGAGTCAAATGTTAAATAGAAGACTTAACTGAAGGTTTGATAGAGTTGTGTGTGTGCCTGTTACAAACCATCACTGCCCCCAGAAAAAGAACACAGAACATTAATTCTGGGCGACTGAACAATTTCCTAGGGGCCATGTGTTTAGAGTTTAGAAGAACAGGAATTTATCATATTAAAGTATCTTATTGTCCCTACAAACAAAGTTGTTTATGTTTTCTTTCTTCCAGCTTCTTCCTTTTGATCTCCACTGTCAGAGTTTTGCACCATTGTAATACTTTAAAATCTGCTGGGGGAGAGAGAATGACTGATTGTCTCCTTTTGAAAAGCAAAGTATGTGCTTGCCTGCAGCCTGCAGCAGCATCCCTACTGGGAAAGGTACTGTCTGCATTCTCTTCCCATTTTTTTTATTTTTTTTTTTCCCCTTTTCCCCCTCAACTCTTGGAAACAAAGCTATCCTAGATGAGTCACAAACCCCTAAATTTTAATAGGGAACACAAAACATTGCTACTGTGCACTGGACAAATTCCAAAGACAAATTTAGCGTTAAGTGGTGAACTTCAAGCCACATTACATGTGAAAGGAAGAGTGCAGGGGGAAGGGAAAGTTCTGCTCACAATACACTAAACTCATCTTATTTTGAATAAAAAATTCAAACAATTATTCTAAGAAAAAAATTCAGAATAAAAATATGACAGCATTCAAAAAGCTGGTACTCAAAACAGCTAATACACTTCTAAAGCATAAAAGTTGTAGATATATTAAATTTAAAATCAAATCCTCTGAACAAAGGCTTTTTGCAAAGACAACCTGGAAACACTTTACACAGGCAGGCAATTGTTGGTTATCTGTGTCAGGTGATTAATGAACCAATCTCAAAATTACTCTGCATTAGCTGGCTTGCAGCTGGAAGCTGCCGGCTGTGTTCCCCATCACCTGAGTGCAGCAGCATCTGTTGGTGCTGGACCAGAATTTTTGGTTCCAGTATCACCAGGCATTCTATCTTGCACTATATTACCACTATATACTATTATAATCCAATTGACCTATGGTTTGGATTTGTGCTTTTTCTCTATTCAGATCATTTCACTCCTCCTTTAACTTGGATAATTGGGTGTTGACTATATGAAATCTGAATGCTGAAGTGGGGTTTGGTGCCCTCAATTCTAATTGAAGTCAGAGTCAGTTGATGTTATTCAACACTTTGCAAGATCTGGGTCTAATTATCACATTAGGCCCTATAACAATATACTGATATCCACAGACACGTGTTTTACATATGGAAAACCAATATGCATAGAGGTTAAATGATTTGCATAAGGTCATAGAGAATATGTGGCAGAACTCAAATAAAAGCCTGCTAGCTCCACCCTTTCAGCCTCAAGCCTTTTTTATTACCTCCAATTTTATATTCCTGCCAGCAGAAGTCATTTCCATTTCAAATATTAAATGGAAAATCGGAAAATGTAGTGAACTCTGAACCACATCTCCTTGGTAATCCAGCAAGACAGATAAGCCACATACCAACCTGTGGGTTCAAACCAACATACTTAAATACAGCTGTTGTATGAAATGAGATCTGTCTGCAGACGTATCTGTAAGAATATCTATTTCTAAGAAGTGGAATGTATGGATGCACCCTTAGTCCCCATGGAGATTACGTGCATGTATTTATATAAATATACACAACATACTGTTTCAAGGGACAGACTGATATCATTTCAGTTGGACATCAAACACTTCCTAACCTGAATGGTGAAAGTATCAGAGAACAGATGAATCAGAAGTTATTTGTTTGTAATCCCCCTTTTCATAAGGCTGTTCAGTAGAACATTTGGGAAGGACTCCATTCACTTGGATGTTTGCCTCTCTTGAAAATATGGTCACAGGTAAGAAAAAAATTGAAGATTATATTTTCTGCTATAGTAATCCTAACAAATATTTGTAATTCCCAAAAGCAAACCAAAGATTTAGGAGATGACTCAGAAAAAAATACATTCTTTTTCTTTCTTACTTTTTTTTTTTTTTAATTTTTCTTTCACTTTTCAAATGTTACCTTTTTAATATTTTGAAAATTTAAAAATTTTTCAATTCTGCACCTATGTTGTGTAGGAAAACTATTGAAAGTATCCAAGCAGAAATTAAGTTTTAAAACATCCATAAACACTACTATTTAGAGCTGCCATGCCACATTACTATATTTTGGACTAAAGAATATCTACACCACAAAACAGCAGTAGTTTTAGAATCAGTTTATGTGAAAAGAGCACTGTAAAAACATGACTGCTTAGCAGAAGTCAGAATTAAAGAAATTATTTAAAATTATATACTATCTATAAACTGTTCAATGCTGAATGAAGCTTCTAACATAAATAAACAAGTCCTACCCTTTAAAAAAAGGTAGTTAAAAAAGGCAGTTATTTGATCTTGCTGATGTATTTCCATTAATGTTTTATGTATACACACATACAGTTCCTGAAAGAAAATGGGTCCAGTATAAATACAAATAATGAATTAATCTTAATGAATGCACAATGAGTTAATCTACTTGACTATTTCCAATAAAGCTATTTGGAACACTTAATCCATCATCTTTGAATACTGAGTATTTGGAGCACAATTTACTATAAAAACATGAATTCCCGTTAGTTATTTTAAGTTTTGTTATCAAATGTTAAGAGTAGAGAATAATTTACCAAAAATATGTTTGTACAGTAATTCATTGGTGAGGTCCTTATCATTCCACTCTCCTCCTCTTGAAGTATACTTATAGCCAAGGCACAAAAATCTACTTTAATATAATTTAATAAAAAATAAAATTAAATAACAAAATGTGCATATTGAAGACAATCAATACAACATTTTAGAGCATTTGAAGGGAGCAGGAATTCCACAGCCCCTGGATTTATAACTGTTTTTTGCAGCAACATGGAATAACCCTTCTCTCCTAATCACTCTTAATATGTGTCTATCTATTTCAGCAAATCTACCCATGTGTTGTTTTTTTCTTTTCCAAAACTGAGCATACATTTTCATACCGCATATTTAAAGCACCTTCGGTCTGGCCTCTTCAGCAAAGAGAAGGGATAAAGGGATAAAAGGACATTAAATCCTTATCCTGTGGAAGACTCTCATACAGGAACCAAGACAGTCCAAAAATGCTCCCTAAGGACTTTCCCACTGGCACTCTGGGTATCCAGGCCACAGATGGCTCATACGAAAGGGCTCCAGGGTGTCACGTAGCTGCAGGGATCCTGAGCTAGGGTAATGCCTACAGGCTGCAGACAATACTTGATGGACCACCTGAATTACACAAAGGACTCTCAGAATAGAGAAAGCATGAGTATGATCTTGACCTGAATTTTATCCACCCTCCTCTGGGGCAGAAAGTCCTATGCTGAACCTTAGAGATGGTGTGTAGAGACTCAGGGATCACAGCCTCTGTACACAAGTGAAGTCTGCCAATGCTTGTGCTCTCTCCCGTGGTTTGTAATTACCACTTGAAACTTTATTAGTGGGAATGAAATTACAAGAGTTATTAAGAAAAAAATAATTTGTAAAGAATAAATTTATTTTAAAATTCAGCATATACAAAATAATACTCCTTCTAAACTAATCAATTTTCTGTTTCAAAAAGCAAGTTCTTTCATCCATTTTCAAAATTCTGATAATGGAGTAGTTTATGCAGTATTTGCCTTCCTCTTCCTTTCTCAAAGGGCTGATTCAGGCCGACCTGCCAAAACCTACAGCTGCAGCAAGCCCTGGTTCACAGGAGCTCGTAGGAGTTCATTTATGCAACACAACAAATATGGTATTTTCCAATTTTAATTGTACACAGCACAGCTTCTCTCTTCTCCACAGTAACAAAACCTGGAGTTTCCTGGAAAATCAGTCCCCTTCAACACAGTAACAAAGAGTGGCATATCCTCAGTCACCATCACCCCTTCAAGGAAATTTCTCTTCACAAGAAGAGACCTCAGATCTTAGCATGTTAATGCTCTCATCTCCACAACTTGCCCTCCTCAGAATTGACAACACCCTTACTACAAAAAACTGAGAATGACACACAACAAAAGAAATGTTAAAACAAAAAACAAAACCAAAACCCCACTATTATCTTTTACAGGCAAACCATACATCAGATTAGCACCACAATAATTGTTACATGTAACTAGAACTTGCTGCACTCAATTAATTTCCTTCCTTATAACCTAAATGTATAAAACATGTAGCCCACTTAAAAACAATTACACACACACAAAGCAAATTAAGAGAGCGGTCATTTTTAAAAGGACTTAAATACATGCTAATGGTAAGATATCTAAAGAGGGATGTTTTCATTTGCATAAATATGTGCTAGGCATAGAATTTCCCTCCTCCCTGAGATGTTTCTAACACTGCACATGCACTTTCTATGATAATTTTTAGTGAGAGAAAGCCGCCAAAGGTAACACACTGATTCGTGATGACAGCACAGTTTCTCTATAGACTACGCATTTTGTACTAGCTACTAAAAGAATTCTTGCACTACTTTTCATGTCACGTTGTGCAAGAGCACAGTAGAAATGCTATATTCTCTATATGCTAGTAGCAATGTTCTGTATGTAGTAGCAAGAAAATAACACAAACCAGTAGACCAAGCATTGTTCATTCTTTCAATATTCATGGTAATAACTTCAATTCTAATCAGTACAAATAAGTTTAAAGCCTCTTAGAATGAAATCCATCTCTCATTTTCTTTCTGAACTAAATATTTAGACTGTTGTTATGCAAGTAAAGAAAAACTATATATCTAGATGTTTCAAAGATGAGACATACCATGTTTTCAATTTCATAATTATAAGGTTTCTTAAAGATTCATACCTTTTTGCTGCTGGTGATACAGTTTCCTTTCTGCTTCCTGATGGGGAAGGTAAAGAGCCACTTGGTTTCTTTGGTAACACAGTTCCATTATTAACAGTAGTCCTTAAAGGCAAGGTTTGTACCAGCGGTCTTGCTGTAAAACAAGCATAAGATGAAATAATTGTTTTCATTTGCTTTTCATTTTCCTCCAGCAAACAACACTAAAATATTTTGAAGTATCTGTGTAGTATGTAATTTCTGTTTCACTATTGCTAAATTCACCATAGATGAGGGTTTTAACATGGAGGATTTTTATTATTCTTCTTATTATTAATAATAATACTAATCAAACTGAGCAAGTCACCTGCATATGGCTTAAGCACACAATTCTATAAAATCTCTCATCTGTAAAACTGTCCTGGCTCAAGGAGCTTACTGGTAAGTGCAAAGGTAGCTGTTGTCTCCAAAAACAGTCCTGCTCTGAAGAGCATCAGTCTCTTGCCCACCTAGATAGCATTCAGAGGAGAACTAGAAATGAAGGCAGGTTGCCATCCAAGAAACTCCTGCTCTTCACCCCCTCAACATTCTTGCAGGTTTTCCACAAGCAAATGACCTATTAAGAAACCCCCCCCAAAGGTCTTCTTTCAAAAAATGTGGGCTTGTGTTTGACAGAAAAGAATTTTACCCTTTAGTCAGAAAAAGCAATTGAAATCAGCAGAACAGTGGACTTAATGAGCTGACATTATTTACCTAGATTTTTCTGATCAAACATTGGCTCAAAAAAGGATATACGTCACATTTGTAAATAATATTAGAATAACAGAAAGTCTCATTCAAGTACGTTAGAAATTAGTTGCAAAAACACACAGTGATTAAAACTGCAAGCGATGAGTACAAACATGAGAACTACAGTGGACCATAGCCTGAAAACAGACACAAACATGACTAGTGTGCTCTCTACAGCGGGGAAATAAGCTTGAATCACTTAAAATTGGACAGAACTTTGTATCACAAGCCAGCTTTGTAAAGATACCAAAAGCCTTTGTGTTGAGAGAAACAACACCTGAGAGAAGGCAGTTGCCACAAGTCACTTAAGGAACACAAGATAAAATTTCATTAACTTAGAGAAGATGGCAGAGAGAATACCGATGAAATGCTCGTAGAAAAAAAGACTGCTGAGGATAAAGAATCTAAAAACCTAAACTGAAACATTAACAATTATATACAGTCCTAGGTTATATTATAATAACATCTTCCTGCAAGCATTTACTGACCTGTTCACCTAAGTTTTCAAATATTGAACGAAAGAAGATAATCATGAAAGCCTATGCCTTGAGAAGTTAGGTCAGTAAATACGGTCTACTTGGGAACGCAACTTTCAAGACAAACTTTGTTTTGAAACTTTGTTAGAATATACACTTACTTGTTATGTATTCATCATTTATTTGTTCAGAGAAGATAAATTTAGAAAACAACCTATAAGGAAATATTGAAGGAACAAGGCTTATTTGGCTTAGAAGATGCAAGGATGACATGAAAACAAGTCAACAAAAAAAAAAAAAAAAGAAAATGTTCTCCATGCTCACTGAGGATCTGAGAGCCTATAAATGCAGAAGATTGGTAGGGCCAGGCAGTACTGTTCCTACCAAGGATAGGAAGAGCATGGGATCTCTGATTTTATGGGAAGCTTTAAGGAAAGGCTAAACAGGACTTTAATGAATTCATGGTGCCCTCCATCCCTGGCTTCCATGATCTACTTTAACAAACTAATGTTGTCTTTAGAGCTTATACAAAACACCTGAGATTTACTATAGTTTGGCTTCTCATGCCTCTATTTTTATTTTTTTTTTTATTTATTCTACAGTATCCATTCTTCCAAATGAAATACTTTCTACAGTTTCTTGCTGGAAACTCTACTGCTTTTTTTCCTGACTAGTTGTGGCAATGCCATAATTAATCTGTATGTATAAAAGTGACTCTGTTGCATACTATAGAATCAGAGATAGCTACAGTTGAGCAACTGTGGACTTGTTTCCTGACAAGATTTTTGTAGCTCACAAAACTCCACTGAGGCTTTGAGATAACAAATTAGAACAAGTAAAGTTAAATAAACAAATGATTACAATATTTTCCTTTTTATAGATATATAAAAAAATAGCTATTAAAAAGTAGCTGGAGTGAACTAGCTGAAGTCTGTTTACTCTCCTAACCTTAAGAAATCAAAACTAGCAGCAGCCAAGAATAAACCCTGCAACCTTTAACAGAGGTTTTTCTTCAAAACCAGCACCAACCCAGAACTCATGCTTCTGGAACTAGAGATTTAAAGACCTAGCCCTATGGTCAGCTAGTGTAGAAAGAAACACCATAAAACTCTTACATGGCACACAGAAAAGCTGCACATTATTCAGTTAATCCACTATTACCCTGGAGCTATTTAGTTTTATTTACAACAGCTAGTTCACACCAGTGGTAACTGACATAACAGTCAAACAACCCCAAACATGTCATTGCTGTTAGAAGTCAGTAACTAAAACACATTGGTATTATGCTTTGTCAGTAATGTTTATTTTGGAAGTTCTGTTGCTTCAAGGTCTTACCTGTGGTAGAAGGACTGACATGTTTATCAGCCTCAGCAGCAGCTTTTTTAATCATACTCTGATCTATGGATTAATAGGGCTGTTAAGTTTACAAACAAACCAATAATTGCAAAAGGAAAGAACAACAAACACAAGTAAAACAAAGGCAGGAAGCCATACTGAACTCTGCCAAGTAGCTGAATTAAATAAGGAAGGGGGAAGAAAAATCCCAAACAAAACCCCAAAACACCATTAGCAAAGGAGCTCCACAAATGAACAGGATAAGCAGTTCACTTTCCATGATGTTTGCTGCTTTTAAGCTGCCTAGCTCAAGTCTAGAACAAGAACACACAAAGACCGAAAACAAGCTCAAGTTTTTTCCATTACAGGTCTGGAAGCCCGAAACTCGAAATCTTTAGAGACTTTTAAATCTGAGGCACTCAGAAAAATGTAGTCTTCTGTCCCATAAAGCTTCTTGTTCCAGACTTTAAATCATACCCTGGGAATCCAAAGGCACAAACCTTCCCCTGACACACACACTCTTTTAATCCTGATCTACTTCATATATAGATCAAATGAAAGAAGCAGCATACAATATGCTTCAAACCCCAGTTTGCATGGACAAGATTTTTGTGACATTTTGTGAGATCAAATTCCACTTCTTACAGTTCTAAATGTGGAATTGGACATTAAATGATAATCAGAAAGAAAATAGATTGAGTCCCTGCAGCCCAAGTGGTAAAACATGAGAAGCCACCACTCTGGTTTTACCCATGTGTAAGCTAACCCCTCTCCTCACAGTCTTCATCAGGAGCCTCCATGATGCTATTCCAAGTTAAAATACCAAAATTCAACTTAGTCATATGCTATGTAGTTGCATGTGATTTGTTATAAAGTAATTGTGCCTACTATAGGAAAAATAGGCCATCATGTGAAAAATATATTTGACAAAACAGCTGGGAGAAGTGAATGATCAGGATACTTCAGATTCAGTTTCATGTTATAGAGTATGTTTAATAAGGCTGACCATACACTAATGATACAACTGATATATAGTAAAATTAAAGTTCTTTACATAAATTGTTACAGTAGCAATTATTTCCAGAAAGTAGGTGGATTTAGTTGGCAATTATCAGGACTCATTTAAGTAATTTGTAATGGAAGAGCAATTGACATTTGTAGTCCTCCATTTGCATTATCACAGTAAAACTTCTTACACTGCCATTTTACACACACATTAAAAAGTATCCATGCCATATACACATTTAAACAAACAAACAAACAAACAAAAGAAAACAACACAAAAAACAGTCACAGAAGGCAGAGGAACGGGCTTACAACAGCTTTTCTTCAATGTACGTTGAACTATGGCTTTAATGATCTGCCACTATGACCAAGAAAGCGTCTCCTGATTTAAAGTTCAACTCTACTCACAGAACCCATGAAAATCTGGTCTGTATTTTGCTAAGTAAAGACAGCAGGCAAGAAGTACTGATTTGGCAACAACTCAGTAATAATTACTAGGCTTTATTTCCTCCATATATCAGATAAAATCTATTTTACAGGCAATATAAAGCTTCTTAATCCCTTGTACAACCAGATTTGGTGGAACATTTTATCACAGTAGAGGCTATCTTTAGTAACATTTACCTTATCTGATACTTTAATTACTACTTTTTTTGCAATCAAAGAGACAAAGACAAAATGAAGAAAATACAAACAGAAAGGGAAGAGAACAGGAAAACAAGATTACAGACATTTACTACATATTCTGTTTGACAACTAGCATGATATACAATCAACTAATCTGGCTCTGTAATTCTGTCCCTCTCTCCTTTCCTCATCTCCAAACACAAAACATTATAAGAAACATGACATCTCAGTTCAGCAAATTAATTAGGTAGCTCCTTACCTATTCTGTTAAATCAATGCCCAAAATTAAGTATCTGTTGCAAAGTCACAAATATATAACCAAGATGAGAGGAAGTCCTAATTTCCATCTGAGAAAACTATGAATCCATAATTCCATATCATATTTCCAATGTGAATTAAGTTTTGAATTTATATTAATACATATCAGGACCTCAAAAGACCCAATTTCTTAATTTAGACAACAGAGAGACTGTGAAGTCAGCCATACCTTCTTTCCACATCTAGGTTGTCACCACTTTTACTCCTAGGACTACCCAAAAATACCTCATGCATTCCTGCTAAGATGCAGATAGGCAGTATCCCAGACTTTTGCAGCCCCAGAGACTATAGTAATTCACACTGGTTGGGTTCTAATAAACCTTTACTACTTCGAAGCACTGGATATTCAACTCCAGCTTTTCTGATTTGTATACAAGCCCATTCTTGCAGGGCAGGCGCTGAGAGAGAGCACGCTGAGCACATGGGCACAGCACAGTGTATTGCTGAGTGGCATAGTCTGTCACTCCTGCCACCTTGCTGGCTCTGGGCCTGCTGCTCTGGAACAGGGACAGGCACTAATCGCAGCTCTGCCTTTCCTTTGTAGCTGAGCAGTTGGTGTTGCACGATCTCCTTGGTCAGGTCACCTCTGCGCTAGCTCAGAGCTCTGTCTTTGGCCATGTCTGCACCACCCAAAGGCACTTAAGATGTTTTTAATTAAATTTTATTAGATTTTTGGATAAGAACCCCACCAAACTACTAGAAATTTCACCCACAGAAGACTAAGCCTTCCCTAAAGAGTTTGTAAACTAATCTTGATGAAAAGTCAGGAAGTGGTAGTCATGGTTAAATGTAGATAGTGAATTAAGCACTGAGAATATGCAAATGCTTTGCTGCTTCATGGGAACTATAGAAGGCTCACTGATTTCGCCACTTGGATTTTTGTATGTTCTCTTTAACAAGTTAAATTTCAAATATATTTTATTTTTGAGTTTGTTGATTTTGAGTATTTCAGAGATCTAAAGAATAACCTATTTTAATACATATAAAACAGTCATTGAATTGCACTACCTATTTTAGATGTATCTGAAATGCAAACCTTTGGTAGGTCCTTTCTTGTTCTGCATGGCCTGCTGTTCCTCTGTAATATTCAAGCGTCGAACCACATCAGCAAGGGCAGATTTGAGCAGCTGGATGTCATCTTCTTGCATCTGGACACGTTGCTCCAGAGAGGCAATGCGATCTGTTACCTCCATACTGCTTGCAGCAGAGGCACTGTCATCTAAGTAAAACAGCAGAAAAAGATATATTATCAACAGTGTATAACCATGAAGCAATACCTTATATAACTGGCTGCAGGTAGAAAACAAGGTCTTTCTCGGACCTGAAGACCTCTTGAGGAAGAAAGCTTCTAAGTGATCAAAAGGAAGAGAAGGAAATAAAAATAAGTAAGCAAGTAAGTAAGTAAAGAAATAAGACAAGTACTAAAGATGTGATGATGATGTTGGCTTCAGGGCTACTTACTGTTAACTGGACCCCGCTATCAATTATCTACATGTCTGAAATGGAGTGGCCAACATCACCCTTCACTGTTCTGCTCAACATAACATTCTGGCACTGGCAGACATTCAGGTAGAAAGCTATACCTTCTGATATGCTACACACTCTTCCAGATTCTTCTTTCTCACATATGTGATAGACCGTGTACATTAGACATGTATAAGTAACAGATAAGCTTACACTTTTTCATGTTACCGTCTACAGACTGGAGAATAAATATTAACCCCATCTGCTAACTCCTAATTTATACCAGCAGCTTTATCAGAACATTCCCTCTGACAGGAGTAGAAATACTAAATAAATTAAGAATTACTCAGTAATTGTACGATTAGCCTGCAAATTGTGAAAAGGGTCATTACTTAGCATACAATTCATCCATTACTTGGAAATAACTCACAGAAGCTTAAAGCCTGCAACTCCCTGATGAGGACTACACATTCTTTCCACCCAAAACTAGTCATAAGAATACTTTTCCTAAATGAGCACTTTCATTCCATTGCAGTTCCTATCACATAAAAACATGGTAATTTCTTACAATATTAAGTTAGGAAAAAGAAGGCGAAAGGAAGACAAAAGCAATGCCAAAGATGTCAGAGTCAGTACCTATTAGGAAAGAAAAAAAAATGTGCAGTTTTTAAACAGAATTACAAGGTTTTATTTAACTAGGTGGGTTTGAAACCTAAAAAAAAGTTGAGTATTAACTTACTGGATCATTTCAAGTAATGTTAGTCAAGTAATGATTGGATTATAAATTTTTTTTGAAGACTTAATAAGTTATACTTTAGCAAAAATGGATATTTATGCTACTATCTACAATCATAATTGACTTCTCCCTCATTTCTAACACAAGTCCACAGCACATATTTCTCATGTTAAAGATGATCTCTCTTTGTGAAGAAGCTGGTATTTGTTTTCTTTTCTTTTGTGTACTTAATTCTTCTCCATTCCAAACCAGTTTTCCACTTCTTTTGTACGAGGGCATAAAATGAAAGTTAAATGGCTCGTGCATGGTAATAACTAGTGTTGAATTTTAAACCAAAGTGTTTCAAACATGAAAAAATAGCTTCTGAGTTCATTTAAAAATACATCCAAAAATTCTAATATATACAAACTTTTAATCAGAAGGATCTGGGGAAATATTGCATTTAAAATAAAATAAATAAATAAATAAAATCTATTACTCTCCAAACCACCCCAATACAAATTGGTTTTGGAATCTGTTCATAAACTGTGTTTTGGTTTCCTTACCCCACACACCCCCAACAATTGTCTGTGGTTACCAAAAACTGAATTAGAAACAAATCAGAAACAAAGACTATAAAGATATTGATAGTCCATAAATAGCTACAGGCTCGTAGCTTAAATTGCTTGTTAATTCTGTTATAGCATTATCAGAGCATATCTAAAATATCAACATTAGGATATTATTAGGCTGAACATAGTGGTAATACAAGTATTCAGGTCTGAACAAACTAAATCAGAACTCAAGTTCCTGAAAAATGTTGAGAAACTTTCCCCATGACAAAGCTTTTCAAACTTTGGCCTAATGAGACTTCTGCTCAGCACAGGACTCTGTCCTGCAGCTGTTACAGGTAATTAATCCCCAAACTGAGATTAGAAGCCATGCTGGCAGCAGTATGAGCTGCCTGCAGAATTTAACCTTTCCTTATACAAAAGGCCCATGCTGGTCTAATGACTTTGCACTTTAACTCAGCTGGAAATAACATGGATTAGCATACTGGACAATAGGCAACCAAATCAAAAGCTTGATTTAACCAATACAAGACAAATTCAAACTTCAGCCATTCTGCCAAATTCAATACAACAAGGCATAGTTTTCTTCTAAATTCAGTCAACAAGAAATAGCCAATTCCCAAATTCAGGGCAGAGGAGAAATCCAGGGAGAAATTGGTTGTTGTTAAAATGATCTCACCCTTGTTACAAAAGAAAACATTCTCATTAAAGTATCAATTTTACTAATTTTTAAGTGTGTAGAAACAGTAATTTTGCCCAAATATAAATCTTCAAGTAGTAAATCAGTGGCACTGGTTTATTTACAGTCCTATAAGAAATCACTCCCACTAATAACTATTAAGATGTACATTTCTCTCTCTTCTTCCCCCTTCGCCCATCTGCCACCGTGACCCTTGCCCTTGCATCCTTGATGACCAACAGGCACCTGAAAACCCTCTGGACACAACATGGCTGCTCCTTCCACCATCACGGTGCTTCTCGGTCCTTGGGAACATAACCCTCACCACTGCTGCAACCTCCCACTTGGGTTTTGGTTTTTTTTTTTGTTTTTGTTTTTGGTTTTTTTTTGTTTGTTTGTTTGTTTGTTTGGTATTTTTTTGGTGATTACCTTGTGTCCTGGGTTGAGTGAGTGGTGGAGTTTTTTGGTGGCAGGGGAGGGGGCTATAGGGGCGGCCCCCTGTGAGAAGCTTCTCAAAGCTCCCCCAGCTCCAAGTCAGCTCCACTTCTGTTTGGGAAACTGAGCCAATCAGCTGCGCCTCTGTGATAACGTATTTAAGAAGGGACGTGGTGATGGGCAGGGGGACTTGTGAGAAGGAGTTGCTGCATCTGCATGAACAACAAGGTCAGTGGAGGAACGGAGGAAGAAAGGAGGGGGGAGGTGTGCCGGAGCAGAGACCCCCCTGTATCCTGTGGGGAGACGGCAGGGCGGCTCCCCCTGCCACCCATGGAGATCTACGGTGGAGCAGACATTGATTTATGGCCTGTTGCTCCTGCTTGGTATAATCAAGGTGCTGTGCCCGAAGAAGGCCGGGGTCTCGTGGGAAAAGGCAGCCCCGCTGCTGTAATTCAGTGCTGGGAGGATTGCAGCATGAGGGGAGTCCCACGCCGGAGCAGCTCGGGAAGGGCTGCAGCCGTGGGAGGGAATCCAGTCGGAGGAAGGTAGTGACCCATGACGGAGCAGTGTGGGGAATGCTGCGGCCTGTGGGAGGAATTCAAGTCGGAGAAAGTTTGTGGAGGACTGTCTCCTGTGAGAGGGGGACCATGATGGAGCAGGAGGAACAAGTTCCGGAAACTCCCCTCACCGAACATGAAGGAAGCGGCAGCACTGACTGCACCCCCCATTCCCTGCCCCTGCGCCACTGGGGGAGGAGGTAGAGATATCGGGAGCAGAGCTGAGCCCGGGAAGAAGGGAGGGGTGGGGGGAAGGTGTTCTCAAGATGTGGCAATGCTTCTCACTGTCCTACTCTGTTATGTGTTGTTAGTGTCTGTAATAAATGTATGTTCTTTTTTTCCTTCCCCTAACAAGTCTGCCTTTTGCTCGTGATCATAAAAGGGGGATTTTCCCCCATCCCAGTCCTATCTTGAACCCCAAGCCTGGCTCTCTGTCCCTTCTCATTGCCGGAGGGGAAGGGAGAGCTGCTGCATTGTGGTTGGCTGCCAATCAGGCCTAAACCACAACACCTTGCTGGATGCAGTTCCCTTCCAGGGATGGAGTGAGGAATAAAATGTGTCACAACTTTTATTCCTCACAATTGTAAGATTGCAACTGAAGACAAGAAGTCACACTTCACTTAGCCTCCCTTTTGCACGCATATACAAGTAAGCTAGAAAGGAGACACAGAATTACTAAAACTATGCTTTCTGAAGAATACAAATTTTAATTATAAAATAAGCATAACCTGTTTGTTATGCAAGTAGAGGATAGAATGTTCTTGCTGTTGAGATCATTACATCCAAGTATATTGAGCAATAAAGCTGCAGCTTCAACACAGCCAAATAAGCAAAGGGATATGGTATCAGAAAAGAAAAAAAAAAAATTAATGCTATAAACTAACTAAATAACAATTAAAAAGGTACAATAGATGTCATCTATTCTGCCCACAAAAGCAAAAGCTATATTGTTAGCCTAACTTGTGATCTGCTTATGATGTATAGAGCTCATCCTCACAGCAAAGTACATTTGCAAGGAAATTTTTAGCACACACTTGTAACGCAATTTAGACTTCAAGTAGAGCCATCTTATTATTATTGTTCCCAAGCCAAGATTAAATTTAAAGTGACTATACATTTTATAGTACCCAATTCCACGTTGTCTCATGGATAAAGCATATCCTCAAGGAACTGGCTCAGAGTAGGCTGAGAGGGGAGCACAGGGGGTTTGGAGGAAGTCGGCTGTGGGGTGCCAAGGTCATCAATCGCTGGGCCTTGGGGTGGTCCAGCCTGGGTCTAAATTTTCCCTTACAGGGTACACACATGTATGCCCAGGAGCTGAGCTACAAGTGCATTTTAGAGTACAGTTACAGTAACTGAGAGAAAAACACTTTATAGTAATGATGTAAAGATCCTCAAAAAACTTCAGGTGAATACAAGGAAATAAAAAGCATGCTTTTAAAAGAAAGCCATGTAGATAGACATTTTCAGTAATAATACACAAACCTTACCGCATTTTTACGATATAAGAAGAATACCATTATGTCAATACATATTACTTTTTGTGACGCTAAACTCAGTAACATTAACAAATTTTTACCAGTGTCAATATACTTAGATTTGGTGACCACTTTGCAATCTGCCATAAGATCAACAGATGTTCACCATCTTGCAAGGCATATGAAAGGGATGACAAATCCAGACAATTTTCCTTGAATCATTAGGTCTAATTATCAGTCACTACCACCATTTTTTCCAACTGATAGACAGAACAGACATCATATCACCCTCATTGGTAGCATCAATAGCATGTTATAA